TTTGTGGTGATGACGAGTGATGTCAAAACAAAATCAGAAGTCTGGGGATTAAGACATAGGGAGGGAAGGCGAAGAAGGCAAGTTGGGCAGAAAGAGCAAGCGGCACGGTCGGATGCTCCTGCTGTCTCCGAATGCAAATGTGTTCGGGATTCCACGTTTCTGTGGAAGCAGCGACCGGCGAACGCAATGGCCAGCCCAGCGCAAGCAAAACAGTCTCACAGTGTCCTTCGGTGGACGCGCCTCTTGCCTCCCGCTCGTCCTGTTTGCTCCAGCACACGGAAGCGACGGAGGGGCTGTGTCCCCGTCCAGTTGGAAGGCGCTAATCTCTTTGCAGCGGCCACCCCGCAGTGCTTAATGTTGTCAACGCAGGAGCGGATAGCACTCGGCGCCCGTAAACGTCAGCCACAGACAGCACTGAGAAGTCCTGTGACACAGGCCATTTTGACGTTGTGGCGCCCTTGCCTGGGCGGGCCTAGCCTTGTGCCAGGGCCAGATCGCTCTTGACTGCCATCTGACTGGGACCTAACATGGCCTGGACAAGTCGCCCCAGCGCCATCGTCAGTGCGCAAAGAGCGAAAACATTCGTGTTTCATCTCCTATCCGAGCAACCCAATCAACCCAACACGACGAATACCACGACTCGAGCACGCAGTTATCGCTGTCTCTATCGTTCGCTGAACCTGTCTTGTGCAAACATCAACAACACGACAAGACCTTGCCATCGCCTCCATCGCATCTCTCATCCCATCGGCGACAAACGATCACGAACCCCTTTTCGCTTTTTCACATCGCATCTTCCTTCTCCTCTCTTCCTCATTCGTCCACCATGTCCGAGGCGTACGAGCGCGAGCGCCAGAACAACTCGCGGCTGGACGAGCTGGCGTCCAAGGTGACGGCGCTGCGCGGCGTGACGATTGACATTTACGACAATGCGCGCGAGCAGGACGTCATCGACTCGACAAACGACACCTTCTCGAGCATGTCGACGCAGCTCAAGGGGTCGGCGGGGCGGCTGACCCGCATGGCGGCGTCGGGCAACCGCGTGGCCATTCTGAAGCTGTCGGGCATCATCATTGGCGTTTTCATCTTCCTCTACTACGCCTACCGGTTGATATTCTAAGGTGCGGAATCAGACCAGACGGAAGATGCCTTGGCAACCTCGACATCTTTGCATAAAACGAATCAAAGCAACAAACAACAAACACACACACAGCATCGAGGCCGCTCGTCCGGCGGCCTGGATAACTGGGCATAGCAATGGCGTTTTGGGAGGCGATGTATTTTGGGAAGGAACCACTGGAATTTATTTGTTTGGAGACGTCCCGGGGCTGTCCTCCTTGCGTCTTGCGCTTTGACTACCTGTACACTCTGCCTTTTATTGTATTTCACTAGAAACATATCACATTGTATTAGAGCTGAATCGAATTCGGGGTTTTACTGAGAGAACGTCATCGCAGCAACATGGCCATATACAAAGCAAAACAGTCTTTATTTTTCTTTCTCTTGCTGTCCGTACAGCACGTATGATGCGACATTTAGCTGGCAGGAGACCAAGACAGCAGCCAAGACATCCGAACCGAGGCACAACCGGCCGTTTCGTCCTGCCTATTCCTCCTACCACGTCCGTATTCCTATCCGTCACCACAAGTACGACAGACTCCCGCATCCTTTGTCTAGTTCCACACGTTGGAAAACAGGTCCTCGTTGGCGCCGAAACCTGCCGCAGGCTTCACGCCGTTGTTGGGGGCAGCCGCCGTGCTCGACGACCAGCCACCAAACTCCTCGTCCGCAGCGACCTTGGGTGCAGGCGCAAATCCGCCGCCGGCACCAGGGACAATGCTCTGGTTGGCAAACGAAGCGCCGGTCCCAGCGCCGGCCCCGCCGCCGCTGCCGCCGCTGGCACCCCAGCCAAAGTCGTTGGCCGTGGAGGCCTTGGCGAGGCCCGTGTTCTGGAAGGACGAGGTAGTCGTGGTCGCAGGCGCGGCGGTAGCGGCGGCCGGCGCAGGCGCGGATGAGCCCCAGCCGTCGTTGCTGCCCCAAACGTCCGAGTTGCCCCAGTTGGCGCTGACGCTGGCCAGCGGGCTGGTGGCGGCGGCGGCCGTGGCCGTGGGTGGGCTGACGGCGGGCTTGGCGGCAGGCTGGCTCAGGTTGAACACAGAGTTCATGGACGCGGATGCGCCGGGCGGCGGACTCACAGCCGCTGCGGGTGGTGGTGATTTGGCAGCAGGAGCGGCCGGGGCCGGTGCAGAAAAGTCAAACAGGTCGCCAAATGCGCCGGATGCGGGAACGGCGGCCGGCTTGGCCGCGGACGGCGAGGGAGAAGAGGAAAAGGCGTCGAAGCCGCCAAGGCCGCCAAAGGCCGACGACGACGACGCCGCCGAAGCCGCTGCCGGCTTGGGCGGCTGTACGGGTGCAGCCGCCGGCTTGCTGTCAAAGAAACTGCCACCGCCCAGACCACCAAAGGCAGACGAGGATGCGGCGGGCGGGGGGGAGCGGGTAGCGCCCGCGTTGGTGAAGCCCGACAGACCAGCAAAGGCATCGACGGGCTTCGGTGAGGTGGCGGCCGGTGCGGCCGGCGTGGACGAGAAGCTCAGGCTGCTAAATGCATCGACAAACCCGCCGCCGGCATTCTGACCTGGTGAAGGCATACCGCCAAAGCCCCCCACGTTTTGCTGTTGTTGTTGCTGCTGCTGCGGTTGTTGAACTCGGGGTGCCGTAGCATAAAGGGAGAGGATGGATTGCTTGAGATCCGGCCGCGACTGGGCCGCAGAGGCACCGCCCGCAGTGCCCGTCGTGCTCGATGGCCGTGCAGGCGCCGCAGGCTGTGCGCTGCCGAAAAAGTCGAGACCCAGCAGAGAGTCCTTTGCGTTGATGTTGTTGTTGGCGGCGGCGGCGGGGGTGGTCTTTGGCGGTGCCGCATCGGCCTTGGGCGGTATGCGTGCAGCTGGGGGGCCAGCAGTGCTGGCCCGTGGGGGTGGCGTTGACGAGATGGGCGCATCATCAAAGCCGCCGCCGATGAGATCGATGGAGGCAGCGGGTGCCGCTGGCGCGGCCGAGGCTGAGGCTGGCTTGGCCGTCTTGCCAATGGACGCCTTGCGGATGGACTCCTTGCGGTCGATGGCCTGCTTCTCCTTGACGATGCTCAGGGGGATGTCGTCGTCGCCGTCGGCGTCCAGGGTCGACAAGTCCGCCGGGATCCCCCCGTCCATGACCCACCGCTTCATCTCGTACTTGGTGCGGATAAAGTTTTCGATCTTGGCCTCGGACGGCACGTGGCCGGCCGCCAGCTTGGCCTCCCAGTACTTGTTGGCGCGCGAGTTGCCCCATTCGAGTATGCTCTTGAGCTGCTCGTCGGTCCAGGAGTCGAGGTCGACGGACTTGACGCGCGAGATGTGCGTGCCCATGCCACGGTGGATGCCCGAACAGCGGATGCAGACGAAAACGCCGAGGTTCCACGACGCCCAGCGGGGGTCTACAACCGTCAGCGTGTGATTGCAGATGATAGGAAAGGGGGAGGGGTACGGGAGAGGAGACAGGGACCTACGCTTGTTTCGCTTGCAGTCGGCGCAGACCTTGTTGGGCTCCAGCTTCAGCAGGCTCTTGATGGTCTGCTGGTTCTGCGCGGCGCGCTCAGCGGCCGGGTTGGGGGCTGGTCGTCGCGACATGGCGATGTGAAGTGTGTTATGGGACAGAATGAAGCGGACTGACGTCGGAATCAACAAAATTCGAAGAAAAGGAGACGGGAGAGAAGAGGCGAGGCGAATGGCAGCGAAGGCGGTCTGGTGCGCAGTTCAAGGGTCTTCGAAAGGCGTGTAGAGATGGATAAACGCTCCAAGTCGCGGATTGATGGGAGGAGAGTGTTGTTGTATGTAAAAAGGTGCAAGATGCAAGGTGCAAGGTGGCCGAGCGACGAGGTTGGGCTGCGTCCGAAGGTTGTGATAAAGAGCGGAAATGTCGTGGCCTACAAATGGGGAACTTTATTCAACTCGCCATTGCCCCAGGGGCTTTCCTTCTGGAAACGGACCAAGGTTCTGGCGGGGCTCGTACAGTGCTAATTTAGATATGTTAAGTGTAGACACTGTATTTATGTGCAATATGCGCTGCTGCACAGTGTCCCTTATTTGGGCGTGTTGGTTGACTGTAAATTATACGATGCTGGTGACGACTCAGAATAAACTTGATAAACAAGTATGCCTACAGACAGAACTTATGCAGAGCAAGACAACATTATACAGGTCTATTGGTTTTCTTCGCAATTGCTGGTTCTCTGGAAATGGCGAAAACCCCCATATGTTAATGCTCTCAGTGCATACGTTTCGTTGAATGGCCGGGCAAGGTTCTTTACATAGATGTTCTTTGTGTCACTGTAATCCCAGCTATGGCCTAGAACAGGCCAAATATCGCAGCCACGGAGACTAACCCGGCATCAAAGCGTGTCTTTGACGCACACCCATTCGATTACCTCAACACGACTGCTGCACGTGGATGTCAGACAAGGCTGCCAGAGTGATGTCAGGCCTGGGGCAGGGTAGTCTCTGGGAGCCTGAGCCTGCATGATGCGTAATCACTAAAATCCCAGCAGCGTCGGCACAGAACGCTGCGGCCAGCCTCGCCAGCCTGCTTTATGTATCTACCGGGGTACATTTGCTCTTGCCTTGCCCAAGGTTCACGTCATCCAGTCGATCCTCGGCGGGAAGGAGCCCCTCCGCGCCCGTATTTGAGTTTCTGGTGGAAGGTGCTAGTGGGGGCTTGCGTGCGATTCCACATCGGCCGCCCGCGACAAGAGTGGTTCCAGTGCTGTAACTCAAATCACTGCGCGACGGCTAAGCTAACAGCTGTCTAGCAGTTGTCTAGCAGCTGTCTACGGCCACATTGCCACTGATGGCCTCTTTCCTTACGTCTCACGAATCTTATCGACTTTTGTATATAAATATCGCCAGGACCACAACAGCAGACAGTTGTCGTCTCATACTGCATACCATCCTCGCGCAACGCTCTTCATGCTCTCTCAACGCTTCACCACTCTTTTGCGCACCGTCTCTGTCGTCTCTGCACGCTCCGTCGCATCCAGCCGGTCCGTTCTCCGCCGTCTTCCTCTGCCAACTCCTCCGCCGCCTTCAGTCACATCGCGCACCGTCTTGCGGTCCATGCCCTCGATTCCGTTCCTTGGAAGTCTTTTTTCTTCTTCTTCTTCTTCTCCTTCCTCCTCGACTGCCCGGCAAGACAACATGTCTTTCCCCGACCAGCGCACGGATTCGGAATGGCGCGCCGTGTTGAATCCTGGTGAGTTTCTGATTGTCTCGATAGTTGCGTGTTCCTTTGTTCGCCAAGTGCTAACAACAAGCCAGAACAGTTCCGTGTTCTGCGTGAACAGGGGACCGAGCGCCCGTTTACGGGCGAGTACGACAAGCACTTTGCCGACGCCGGCGTCTACCGCTGCGCCGGCTGCCAGGCGCCGCTCTACAAGGCCTCGCACAAGTTCAAGTCTGGCTGCGGCTGGCCGGCCTACTTTGACAGCCTGCCCGGCGCCGTCAAGCGTAACGTCGACAACACGCTCGGCATGCAGCGCACCGAGATTGTGTGCGCCAACTGCGGCGGCCACCTGGGCCACGTCTTCAAGGGCGAGGGCTACAACACGCCAACCGATGAGCGCCACTGTGTCAACAGCGTCAGTCTCAAGTTCTCGGCCGAAGACGAGGCTGCCGCCGCCAAGGACGCCGGTGGCGCGACGAGCAAGGCGTAGAAAGCTTGTTAGCGTGGTCAGTGTCCGTGTACTGTTGGGAAACGGGACGATGTATTTTCTTTTCTTATGATTTCTTATGTATAACGAGGAGACGACGTGGATGACGGCGGCATTTATTTTGAGCTTTTGTATTTGTTGGGAATAGCACGACGATTTACGAGATGAGGCTTGGTGAATGTGGAAGGAAAAGACCTTAACAAAAAGATAGATATATGTACGTTTAATGGCACCGTGAAGCTTGATTTCCACAAAGCAAAACAACTCGAAGGAGAAATCGCAACCGTTGGTAAATACACCGTTACCGCGTATATCCCGATTTATATTGCGTCCCGCTGAGCCGGCCCTGGATAGCTTGCAAATTGTATGTCCCATATACGGCAAATATACCCGGAAATGGCTGACGCGAGCGGAGAACAAGTTCCTGTCTTCCATATTTGTATGGAGGAAAAAAAGTCAAAAGGCATAGCCAACGTCATTCACAAGTCATAGAAAAGGGTCGTGTTTCTGTTTTCATTTTCGTGTGCGCAATACATAGGTGCACGCGGAATCTACAGTGTACATTCGCCGTCGCCAACAACACCAACATGAAGGCCTCTGCGGCAGTCCTGGCCGTCTCCAAAGCCAACATGGCCGTGGCGGCCGCCGTCGCTTCGGCTTCATCGGCGTCTGCCCCGACCATCCACCTCTGCGGCGACAGCACCATGGCCAACATGTCCGGCGTCATCCAGGGCTGGGGCCAGTACCTGCACTACAGCTTCGACCCGGCGCGCTTCACCGTCGTCAACTCAGCCATTGCCGGCCGCTCGGCCCGCAGCTACACGCGCGAGGGCCGCTTTGCCGCCGTCCTCAAACAGGTGCAGCCCGGCGACTGGGTCGTCATTGAGTTTGGCCACAACGACGGCGGCGGGCTCAGCAAAGACAATGGCCGCTCCGACTGCTTCGGCGCCGGCGACGAGACGTGCCAAACGACGTACGACGGCAAGCCCGAAACGGTCCAGACGTACCCGACGTACCTCAAGCAGGCCGGCGCCGCGTTCCTCAAGGCCGGCGCCAAGCTGGTCCTGTCGGCGCCGACACCCAACGACGTGTGGAGCGACGCGGGCGTCTACTCGTGGGGGCCCGACCGGTTTGCGTACTATGCGATGCTGGCGGCCGAAGAGCTCGGCGGCACCAAGGCTGGCGCGTATTTTGTGCCGCACGGTGCGTACGCGGCACAGGCCATGAAGGCGCTCGGGTCCGACGTCGTGCGCAAGAACTACCCGCAAGACCACACACACACGTCGCCGTTCCTGGCCGACGTCATGGCGGGCGCGTTCGTGCTCGGTCTGACGTGCGGCACAAGCGACCTCGGCAAGGCTACCCTCAACAGCACAGCTGCCCTGTCTGGCACATTCTTTGGCGGCTGCATCGCCTACAACTCCACAGTACCACTGTAGGGACGTCGGATGGATGTAATCTGACGTCGATATCGACGTAACGGTGCGGTGTGTGGTGTATTTGTGTATTGTTGTGGTTTCTCGGGCGATTTCGTTATGCTGTTTCCTGTGCTTGCCATGCCAAAAGAATGCAAGAAAAGGATGGAAAAGACAAACATTCAAACGCTTTTCCCAACCATAATAGACCTATATACCTTACTGTATTACTCCAAAAGACCAGCACCAATAATCTTGCCTTCGGAGCGCAGAACGACCCGCTGGCCTGACTCGAGAGGAATTCTCTTTTCCAGCTCGACCTTGATGCGTGCGACACGACATGCCGTGACCACGAATGGGTGTTCCCTCAGGACGTTGCCCGTCTTCAGATCGATGATTGACAGAAGCTCCTTGATCTTACCGGCCTTGTCAAGGCGGCCACGGTGCACCTCCAGGGGTTGTGGGATCAGCGGCTCAAATGCCATGACCTTCATGGTCGCCGCATCGATGCACGGTGCCGGATTGGCCGGATCGCACAGCAGCACGCCGGGCCGCACGTTCAGCGGGTCAATGTTTGTCAGGTCGAGTGCGACGTTCTGGCCCGCAACGGCCCATTCAGCCGCCTGGCCGTTGCGCAATATGCTCTTAATGTACGCCCGCGCATTGCCGGGCAGAGCAAGCAGTGCATCGCCTACTTGCAGCGACCCGGCCTCGATCAGCCCAGTGACAGTGACGGCACTGCCGGCGGCCTTGGAGGTATCAAATATGGGCAGCCGGAGCGGCTTGTCGATGGGCCGAGGCAGGGGCGCGCACGACTCCAGCTCCTCAATCAGCGAGTTGCCCTTGTACCACGATGCCGCCGGTGTCTTGATCCGTGTCGTCATGTTGTCGCCGGTCTTGCCTGCGACGGGAACGAATGTGACCTGCGACATGTAGAAGCCCGTGGCGCGCAGGAAGCCCTTGGTCTGGTCCACAATCTGGTTGTAGCGCTCCTGCGACCAGTCGACCGTGTCGAGCTTGTTGACAGCCACCACGATGCGCATCACGGCCATGCTGCGCAGAATCAGTGCGTGCTGGTGTGTTTGCCCGCGAAGGCCGGATTCGAACGCCCCCGTCTTCGCGTCAACGACCAGAACGGCAAAGTCGGCGCGCGAGGCGCCTGCAATCATGTTTGGCACGAAGTCGCGGTGGCCCGGTGCATCGAGGATCGTAAAGGCGGTCTTGTCCGTGTCAAAGTGCCGCGCTGCCACGTTGATGGTCACACCGTGTTTCCGCTCGTCTTCGTGGTCGTCGAGCACCCATGCGAGCGCAAAGGACGACTTGCCGATGACTTTGGCTTCCTTTTCGTACTTGCTTACGGTCCGCTTCTCAACGTACTCGAGGTCGAGCAGCAGGCGGGCCATCATTGTGCTCTTGCCGGCATCCACGTGGCCGACAACAACAAAGCTGGTGCTGCGTTTCAGGTTGGCTTTGCTGTGCTCCTCCAACACGTTGAGCTTCTTGCTCTTTTTTGTGGGTGCGAAATCGAACTTCATGTTCTTGACGCCCTCCACGAGCGCCTCCGGCTGTTTTGGCGCGCTCTTTGTTGCGGGTTTCGTTGTAGCGCTTTTGTTGGTGTTTTTGAAAGCTGTAAAAAACGCAGAGAAGGAGGACGGAAAATTAGACGTTAGTGATTGGTACTTTTCAATAATAAATAATAAAGCGCGAGCAAACAAGCTGTCACGCCTCATTTCTTGGGCTGGCCACGGCGCCAACCTTTGGCCTGTGCTTCCAACACGACATCGTCGGGCGAGGGTCCTAGAAAAGCGTCGAATGCAGACGGCGGAGCACGAGACAGCGAGGGCACAGCCAGGAGACTTGGCTCGTCTTGAGACGGATGCGCCCTATGCTTTTGATTTTGTTTCTTTGCGCCGAACAGAGCCTGAGCAAATGCAGACGGCTGGGCGACGAGGGCAGGCTCGCTTTCGCTGTTCACCGGTGTCGGCTCCTCCAGGCGAATATCCTGCATGGCAAGAGGCTTTTCTGGTGCTGGCGGTGGAGAGGTTTTCTTGCTCGGTGGGCTTGTTGGTGCTTCCTTGCTGGTCGTGCTCTCTGTGTCTCTCGGCGATCCGTACACCGGGCCGTCGATGGCCAGCTTAGCCGCCTTCTTCCGGAGCTCGCGCACGTCCTCGTCCGCCTTCTCACCGCCCGGGGATCCGCCGCCACCGGCCTCTTTTGACTTTTTCGCTTCCTCGGCCTTTCTCTTGCGCTGTGCCGCGAGGGCCTGCAGCTTGGACATCTTGGGCGCGGCGGCAGTGCTGGATCCGCCCAGGAGCCCGCCTCGGCGCTGTGGCGGCGGGACAAGCACGGCCATGCGCGGCTGCGGCACATTCAGCCAAGGCATGTCGCTAAAAAAGGCGGCGAGAAAGGCACTGTCGGGCGGTGCGCGAGGTGTTGTCGTGGGCGGCAGAGGATAGAGGGGGCTGGGGCATGATTGGCATCCTTGTTTGCGTGGTCGACCGTCAACGAATGTGTTGGAGCGCTTCCGTAGCCAGGGAAGAAAGAGGAAACAAGAGCAACAAGCAACCAAAGAAAACGCATAAAGGCAAAGCGTTCAGACAGGAGGTAGAAAAACAACGCAAACTAATAAACAAACTGAAATACAGAGAAAGGTAATGCGGCGTACCTGGAGATTGTTGGGGTGTCGCCTTGGGCTTTTTCTCTGCCGGTTTTGGCGGGTCGATGTACGTGCGCATCAGGTAGGCCATGGCCTTGCTCTCGTCGTAATCGTAGTATAATATGGCCTCTTCGACTTTCCCGCTTGCCAGTTTCGCTGCATTCTCGGCGCCCAGCATGGCCACGACGTTCTGTTTTGCCTGCTCCAGGAACGCCCGCTCCTCCTCCTCGGTGTACTCTGCCGCAGGCTCCTCCGTTCCATCATAGAAACCGTCGTTGTAGGTACCTTCGTCGTACTCGCCGCCGTCATACTCGTCCATGTCCTCCTCATAGTCATAGTTGCGAACAAGTCTGTGTCGTGACATGGCAGCGGTTGGCGGGGCTGTCGTTGCAGGAGGACTGCAGATACAGAGAGAGACGGTGTAAAATACACGAGAGTAGTCGTTTCTGAGTGCGCGACCGAAAAGATTGAACAACAAAGCGCTGAAGATAAAGGAGTGAAGCTTTATAAAGTAGCTTTGTTCATGTTTGGCGAGGATGAACGTTATGTGCACCTGGAGCTGGAGGGGCAAGAGCGAACGAAGCAGGCCTGCAACTGCTGTTGTGAGATATGGTGCACAGTGTGGGGTTGGCCTCAACAGCTTCAGTTCTCCACAATATTACATAAGCTACGCTAACCGCGCTTATCAAGGGTCTTATCACTATCGATAAGAGCCTGCGGACGTTTTTTTCTCTATCGCCAACATTTTCTTTAGCGCAGGAACAGCCTCATTCTGCCTCTCGTCACTCTTTTTGCCCGGCAGAAAACGACATTGTCCTACGCACACACGATATCCGAGAACGACCCCTATTTGGCATTTTTCTGCACATTTTCGGCACGAGAACGAGAGGTCGATAGTTTTATATATTTCTGTCCAAAAAGAGAAGGAAAAAAGGGAACAAGGAAAAGAAGGAAAGAAAAGGGACACAGCACACCCCGAGCACAATGAAGCTCTCCAACGTCGGCACGGCACCCGTGTATACGGTGTCCGGCCCGTCGCTGCGGTCGCTTCCCGACTGGCTGGCCCAAAAAAAGAAACGGGGCCTGAAACACGATCCCGAGTTTGCCAACCGCGTCGAGCTGCTGCAGGACTTTGAGTTTACGGGCGCAAGCAGTTGCATCCGCGTCTCGGAGGACGGCGAATGGGTCATGTCGACGGGCACGTTCCCGCCCCAGATACACGTGCACAACCTGTACCAGATGTCGCTCTCGTTTTCCCGCCACACAGTCTCGCTCAACAACAAGTTTGTCCTGTGCTCGACAGACTATTCCAAGTCGAGTAGGTTGAGAAAGAAAACTTTTGCCTCGGACGGCCCGGACGACTGCTAACATACTGCTCCAGTCCACCTCCAAGAAGACCGCCGTATCGAGTTCCACACGCCCAACGGCTGCCATTACCACGTCCGCATCCCCCGCTTCGGCCGCGACATTGTCTACGACCGGCGGGCCACCGAAGTTTTGGTGCCGGCTGCTGGTTTGGACGGCGATGGGCAAGGCGAGGTGTTCCGGCTGAATTTGGTGAGTACACGCTGTTTGTGGTGGTGTTTTCATTTGTTTTCTTTTTGGTTTATTTTGGGTGTGTCGAGCATCCTGCTAACCCGCTCGTTCAGGAACTCGGACGATTTCAAAAGTCGTACCAGATTGATGTCGGGTCGGACGACGGCGTCGAGCGCGGTCTGCAGGGCAGCATCGGCGTCGGCTGCGTCAACACAGCGGCGATTGCCGAGCAGTCGCATGGTCTGTCGGCGTTTGGCACGTCGCTGGGCTCGGTCGAGTTCTGGGACACACGCAGCCGGGCGCGCGTGGCGACGCTGCAGACGCACGACGGCGAGATCACGGCGCTCGACTTTTCGCGGTCGGGCCTGTCGCTGGCCACCGGCTCCAGCACGGGCATCGTCCAGATGTACGACCTGCGGCGGCCGACGCCGCTGCTCACCAAGGACCTGGGCTTCGGCGCGCGCGTCAACAACCTGATCCACATGACGACGTCGTCGGACGAGAAGATGCTGCTGGCGTCGGACAGGCGGGCGATCAAGATCTTTGACGTGGTGACGGGCGGCCCGTGGGCGACGATTGAGCCCGAGGTCGACATCAGCGCGGTGGCGCACTGCCCCGACTCGGGCATGCTTCTGAGCGCCAACGAGGGCCGCCAGCAGCACGCGTGGTTCATCCCGATGCTGGGCCCGGCGCCCAAGTGGTGCACGTTCCTCGAGCGGCTGGTGGACGAGATGGCCGAAGAGGTGTCGACGACGACGTACGACAACTACAAGTTTTTGACGCTGCCGGAGCTGCGGGCGCTGAGCCTGTCGCACCTGGTGGGCAAGACGAACCTGCTGCGGCCGTACATGCACGGCTTCTTTGTGGCGAGCAAGCTGTACGACCAGGCGCGCCTGATTGCCAACCCGCACGTGTACGAGGAGGAGCGGATGAAGCGGGTCAAGGAGAAGATTGACAAGGAGCGGGCGACGCGCATCCGCGAGACCAAGAAGGTCAAGGTCAACCAGAAGACGGTCGACGCGCTGCTCAAGAAGCAGGAGAAGCGCCAAAAGGTGGATGCGGCGGCCGGCCTTCTCGGCGACGACCGTCTGGGCGCCTTCTTCGAGGACGAGGAGCTGGCCATCGACGAGACGACGGCCGAGTTCCGCGCGCTCAACCCGAGCACGCGCGTCGACGCACAGGGCAATCCCGCGTTGGGCAAGCCGGCGTGGCAGCCGATGCGCAGCGGCCTCGACGAGTCGGACTCGGATGGGGAGGACGAGGACGAGGAGGAGGAGGCAGCGGCGGGCGGCGGTCCGACTCGTTCTGGTGGTGCTGGCGGCAGCGATGGGGTGGTTATGCGCATGACGTCGTCGGCGCCGCAGTTTGGCTCGCGCGGCACGATTGGCGCACGGGTGCAGAAGAGTGCGGCCAACAGCAGCAAGAACAGCAGCATCCTCGGGCAGACGCGCAAAGGCAAGGTGGTGGGCGAGCGGTCTGTGACGTTTGTGCCCGAGTCGACCAAAAAGAAGCCCGAGCAAGAAGAGGTGCGCGAGGCGCCGAAACGCGACAACCGGACGCGGAGAAGCGCCAGTGGCAACACGTTCCGCAACTTGAAGAAATAAGGAGGCACGGAGATGAGGTAAAATCCAGTTTGGCACTTCCTTCCCGCTATGGACAAGGTCAAAGACGAAAAACAAAAAGAAAACGGCATGTCACGAAGCTATGGACACATCTAATAGTACAAAAAGGACAGAGGATCCTCGTCAAGAGGCGCTCTGTCGACTCATCATTCATTCGGGCAAAACATAGGCCGCCGCCCGCCTCAAACGAGCGCCCACTCCCGACCCGAGATTGTGCAGGGCCTTTGTCCTCCGCCTCCCCACCGTCGCCTGTCTCCTACTCAGTCTCCCGCTTCTCACTTCTGCCCGATGCTGGAGAGCTTCATCTTCGCGCCCGACTTGCCTGCCTTGCTCGTCTTGCTTGGTTTGTTTGATTTGTTTGACCGTCCGCTATCGTCGCGACCGCCCAGACCCTTTTCCAGGTCTTTGGGCAGGCGCGGTGTTGGCGGCACGTCGTCGATCCGCACACCGCGGCCACCCCGCGGTCCATCCTTGACCGACGTGGGGAACTCGGAGCGCCGTGGCGTGAGCGCCGTGACCACGCGCCGCGCCGATCTGCGGATGCTCTGGCGGACCTTCCACTCGCGCTTCTTGGCGAGGTAAAAGAGGACAGCCGAGGCGGCTCATCGGGTCAGTGTCAGTTGGACGCGACGGGCAAAAACGAGAGACGGCGTGGTTTCACTCACTTCCAAAAACGGCCACGAGCACGACCACGAGGATGATGGCTATCATGGCGCCGTGCGACAAGTTAATGCCGCCCGACGATGTGCCGGACGCGCCGCCGGCGTTGTCGACCCCCGAGCCGTCGCTGCTGCCGCCGCCGTCCGAGTAGCTGACGGTGCCCAGCGGGAACGCAGCTGTCTGTGTAGTGTCGGCCATGGTGTCGAAGATGGAGTTGACTTGTATTGTCGTGTTGCTTGGGGCGATGACGGTTTCCAGAACGTCGAGAGGGAGCACGTCCAGCGGCGAAAGAAGACGAGAGGATATCAGGGAAAGATCAAAACGGACAAAACGAGAGAGTACAAAGATGGGCAACAGAAAAAAGGATGCGGAAGGGGGCTTGCTCTCTGGTATATAGGAGGGCGGCAAGATGTCTTGTTCTTCTCTGTGGAGCCGTTCTTCCTTCATTTCATCACTTGTATATCATTGGGAGCGGCGTTGCGGCAGCCCCGTTTCCATTTCACATTTCACATTTCACATTGCCGGCATAGTTTTCTCTACCATATTTCATAGAAACCAACTCTGTTTTGCATATTGACAGGGGTCTCTGTCTTTGCTTTACCCTTCCCTTTCTTTGCGCCCACCACCTCAAGAAACAGTTTCACTGTGACCAGAACGGCGGCGTCGTGCATCGCCAAGGCCGCACTACATTGTCACTCGACAGCATCCGCCCTCTGTCCATCCCCCCAGCACACTGCGTGATGTGACTGGCCTCGTCGTTCAGATAGAACGTCTTCTCATTGGACAGTCGTCACTTTCTGCTTGTTTGCGAGCAGCGACGCAGGGGGTTCGGTGCTCGACTCGGCACTGCACGCGCAAGGTACCACTGTGTTTTTGGCGAGACCAGGGGATGCATCCGTCTGATTGGCGACCCTGTCCAGGCCCCAGGCCGTGTTTCGTCGATTGTTTTCTGTCGTCGACTGGCCAAGCGCCGGCCTTTGGGTCTTTGGGGGCGTGCTTCATGCACGTTCCTTCCCTCCCGAAAAGCGGCAAGGGCTCGCGTGTTAGTGCACACCGCCCGCCAGCCAATCACAGTACACGCAACAGGTGCCACATATTGCTCGGCGGCTACGAGGTGACGACGTTGGGGAATTGTGGCAGTTGCATGCAGATCGACGACACACAGATTGTTTTGCAAGCCTCTCTTTTGTCCGGTTCGAAAGTCAAATGTTCCTTATCGATTGTTGCGTGCTTCATCTTGGGTCTGTAAATCGGCCTTGGTGTCAAAAATGGCCGTTTCTCAATCTCGAACAAAAAGTGGTCGGCAATATGATTTTTTGTGTCCAAAATTGTCGTCTAGAATATGGAACTGGAAATTGGGTATGGAGTCAAGTGGTATTTTTTAAAAGAAAAAGAAAAAAAAATAGAGGCAAAGTAATGTTGCTCTGGCGGAAAACATTTTTTTGTTTTCTATTTGCATGTATTAGTTTATTTATTATTGGCCTCCGCAAAGTAAGTTATTATTTTGACCACAAGTACACACTCAAAACAACGTCACAAGTGTACTAGAAACCGTTTATTACATGTAACTACTGTCATATCACTTCATAGTACGAATGTAGTCCAAAGTCCAATACTCTCCACCCGTCAGCCTCGCCGCTCCTTCCATTGCGTCTCACCAGTGCTGTGTTGAAGCCGACTGCTCTTTCCTCGTAGACACCCAGAGCAAGGAAAGCAGGAACGCCCGCTTCTGACGTAGATAAACACAGCGTCAATCGTGCTTTCCCCATTGCTGATTGATGTCATGGATGCTTGCGTTGTCCCCATTTTATGGACTGACCTCCTTTCTTGTCAATTTGTCAACATCCGCCATCCCCATCGGATCCTCATCGCCAGCAACACAACCAGTATCTAGCCAGTATCTACACTATCCTGGCGGCAGTCATGGACCTCGACGACTTTCGGGTTCCGGATACGCCTCAATTGGACAGGGATATGGAGCTGCTAATCCCCCCCAAAAATGCACTGGCATCCACCAGTGTTGTCGGCCTCGGCCGGGACACTCGAATTTCGTCTTCAAAGCGACCAAATGCACTCATGAAAACCTTCGAGCTCGATGCTGAAACCACAAGTACGCGGCCTGTTGGAAATGGTTCGTCATACACTCTTCTATGTTTCTATATTTGTGTCTTGGGCTATATTGATTGGGTATGCTATCGTGCAGTGTCACCGGCGCCACGAAGAATGCCTCCATCTGCCTCGAAACCCAGAGATCGAGACAAGGCCCTGCCCCGGACCAGCTACTTCTCTTCGCTCACGCAAAAGTTTCAGCAACGAGACCACAAGGGCCAACCAAAGACCCTTTCTTCAATCCAAATTCGAACACCAGACACCCAGAACGCCGTCCGTCTCTCTGGCGACATCGTTTCGTACCCTGGCTTGGCCGCTGACAATGACCGCCCGGGTAGCCAGTCGTAGGACAACGGCAACCAGGCACGGAGCACTCAGCAGAGCAGTCACTCGCAGCCCGGAGACGTGGATGCCGGTTGTCGCGGCATCCAAGACGCCATTGCCACCAGATTCCAGGATCTCCAGACAAAGATCCAACTGCAAGAGCAAGAACTCACCGAACTCAGGTTCTCCCTCAACGATGCTAACGTGACAGCAGATCTGCTTGATACAGACAAACGGCAGCTCAAGCAAAAGAATGAAGAGCTCGAACGAAAGATCGTGAATACCAACAACGTCATTAACAAACTGCGCAATGATGTTCAAAAAGGAAAAGATGAACTGCAGGCTTCGGAAGACAGACATGGCCACTCAAGGCAAGACGCCGAGAAGGCCCAAGAGAAGGCTGCTCAGGATCACAACGCACTGTTGGCCGCCCGCAAGACCATAAGTGAGATGGGGACACAAATCACTACGTTGCAAAGAGAGCTGCGTGATGCTGCTGCGATGTCCGCTGAAAAAGCCAAACAAGCTCAAGAAAAAGGTATGCACTCTGCTGCTACACCGATACACATTCTTGAAACGCAACACTACTAACATCTGCAGCCGATGCAAAACTACAAGACGTACAGCTACAGCTAAAGCTCCGTGAAACGGACATCCAAGCCCAGAAAGACGCAAACGAGCAGCTGGCCAACAGGCTGGACACCATCCCGGAGCGAAACCTCCAGGCTTTGACCAGCTGTTCCCAAAAAATCATTGACAAGCTAAGCGACTCAAAGTCGGAGATTTTGGCAGAGGGACATGCCATCAACAAACAGCATCAAGAGCAGTGAGTAGTTTGTCGTTGCCCATGTGATTGTCTCTCAGAGTAGACCATCTAACAGAACAGACGTGGTGCCATGGTCGAATGTCTAAAGGGGCTGTTGACGGCCTCTCAACAACATGTCGAGACACTCGCTACGTCACAACAGGAGACCGAGACCCTTTCTAAGCAGTGCGTTTCACTCATCTTGTTAGATCTTCTTTACATCCGCACAACCCGACCACTACTGACTCCAACAGGATTCTGGACAAAATTGATGCTTCTGATGGTGAAAGAAAAGAGGCAGAGTCCTCTTTACACTTGGATATTACCAGTGTTTTTAGTGATTTGCAAAAATGCATCGACAAGCACAAGGCTTTGTTTCATGAAGCATTCACCGCCAAAATTCGCGAAAGCGACATTCTAGCAGATCTTTGCCAACAACGAGACGTTGACAGCGAAACGCTATCAAAACAACTGGCGGAGCAAAGCCGTATCTCACAAGAGCAACTCCTTGAAATTCGCGAACTGCACAACGCTCTCCGGACGCTCCAGGAACGCACTCGTGAGGATCCCAAAATGGCCGCACAAATCATAGCGCTGCAAGAGCAAAGTCGTCATTTCGAATTCGAATTGAGAGAGAAAGAGACACTGGTCGCTCGGCTGGAGGAAAGCCACAAAGAAAAAACAAAGTTACTCATATCTTCATCGGAAAAGTTTGCATTCGAACTCCAGCAGCTGACCAGCACCTTTCACAATCGGGAAGAAGAGTATCGGCGTGCTGTGGACCAAGCCTCGGAGCTTGCAATCAAGGAAGCCCAGCGGGCATCGAGCGAAGACAAACAAGAAACAAAGAGAGAGCTCCAGCAAGAGCGAGCCAGACGTCAATCCCTAGAAAAGGAACTACGGCAAGCCAAAGAAGACCTCTCTGTACAAGAAGAGAAAAGCAAACGGATCGAACAGTCCAACGAAGCATTGCAGAACGAGCTGGGTGCGTCAAAACTGGGCAACCAAGCCGTCATTGTGCACCTAGAAGAGAAAACACGAGCTCTCGAGACCCGCATGGACCATGATGCTACCCTCATCACACAGCTCAAGGCTGCCCTCTCAGACAAGGAGATGGACTACTCCAACCTACGAAGCAGCATGGAGGCATACGACGAAAAGGTTCGCGTGCTCATCGAGCACTTGCGCGTCTGGGCGCAGGACCACTCGCACATTAGTGCCATCCGCTCGCGCCTCGAGATGCTTAGCCAAATCGACCAGTCCTGTGCCGCGACCGCGCGCATCCGAGAGGCAGAGCAGATCGATAACGTCCTCGCCCAACTACGGCAATACTATGCGTGCCAGAATGAGCGAGACGCAAAACTGGGCTTTGGATCCGGACGTAGCACAGCCGCACCAGCAGCACCAGCCGTATTAACACCCCTGCATCATGACTTTGACGATGAGCACGAACAGCGCGTGTCCGATCTGTCGGCATTCCTAGACGCCGAAGTGGCAGGGGATAAGACGGCAGGTCTCGCTAGGAGCTCTGCCGAGACGTGGACGAATGCGATTCAGGCGGCGATCCTGGGCGGCAGCAGGGACTCGTTGAAGACGCCTGGTTATGGGCAAGGGCCTCAAGACCAAGGCTCGGACATGAAGCCGCCACCGGTGCACAAGGAACGCGTTGTCCATGTAACAGTCGATCCAAAGGGTGGCATGGGAACCTTGAGTTCGCCGATGGTTGCGAGCCCCGTACCGACGCGGACCCGACGAGAGACACGGTCGTCTGCGGAAAACAAAACTGCACAGCGCAATACAGTCAGCCCGACCGGAAAGAGGGCGACTCGAAGCGCCAAGAGAAAGCGGCTGGACACCATAACAGGCCATGAGATGGTGGCAGCATCAGTGACGGGACGCACCGAAACTTTGGTGTATTTCCAGGGCGGTGGACAGTCAAAGGTACTGCCCTCCATGATCCAGGACGAGAACAAGCCTGCTGCGGCCATGATGCTCAGTTCTCGACCGGTGCTTATCAAGATTGAAGACTCGTGAGAGGGGCAGACGAGGTCCATAAGCAACGTATATGTATATACATTCACGTGTGCAGATTTTACTCTTCTTAGAAATCAATCAATAAAGTATATTCGACAAGGTGTGTTTATAAGGTTCCCAATCCCCCCCAAACGCCAGATGAGAAATGCAAGGATGCGTTTATGCGTTTTGTACAAGGTGCTGTCGAGGGGCAAGCGGAACAGACGAAACGGCGCACAGGTCGTTCTCCCACCCCGTTCGTTTGTCTCGACAACATTTCCGTTTGTATGTGTCTTTTCCGTGCCGATGTTGGTCGCTCGTCGTCTATTTACCACTCCGCTTCTTTTCAAGGAAGAGGACCTTTCTGCGGACTGGAGAGGCAACGGTTAGCACTGGCGCTGTCCTCGCCCAAGAAGACGGACAGAAACGTACCGATAGGGTCGTATTTGAGGAAGCTGAGCGGTGTTGATGTGCGTGGCCGGGTGAAGGTGTAGAAGAAGCCGGTCATGGCCATCGACAGGACGCGCACTGAAATGACGCGTGACTTTGCTGCGGGACCGTTAGCATTGGCTGCGCGGTAGAATCAAGGGGTAAAATCCATTGCAAGATTGGCCCGTACCCTTCTTTGCCATATTTGCGGGTTGGTAGGTCGCGCGGGATTCGGATATGTGCTGTTGAATGGATCGGACGGCGGCCCAAGGGAAGCCATTCACGAAAACGCTTTTGCGCCAAAACCTTTGAACGACGTCGAAAGGTAAAAGTGGGTCAGAGAGCAACACCCGCCAATCAGAGAGTTCCTATGTTGGGCGCTGGAAAAATCACGGCCCAGTTCTTATCTTATCGGGTGCCTGCCGTTTAGCTCAACTTTTGGTCATAGTTTTGGCGCTGCCGCTGTGTCGCCCATTTTCAGGGACCAGAACTTACTGGCTTATGGCGCTGTAATGTTCCGTCCACCACTGACGAGTCGGGCATCGTCCTGTCTCAAATTCTGCCCGTCTCCGCTTCTCTGCCTCTTGGTCCTTTCTTCGCTTGCCAGACCCCTTCCTCCAGTTACCCCTTTTTGGCCCAATTGAGTCCAATAGAGCGGGAAGCGGAGATCCGTTCTACTCCGTACACACAGCATCTCCCCTCTTTTTCGCATTCTATCGGTATATGCTCCCTATAAATATATTCTCCGTTTATTTCACCGTCAGCGTCTGTGCTATCTCGAGGCGGTCAGCGTGTGGTCACTGGATTATTATATATAGTGACGCCTGCCGGTCACTCCTTCCTCTCCTAAAAGGAGGGGAGTAAAATAGAAACATCGTGAATATTTCGTCTTCCGCTCCTTCCGCTGGCTGCCCACCGCACCTTCTCCCCCAACAGCGTCGCCCATTGTCGCCACTTCGCCATGCTCTCTGCCATTTACAGGGCGCCTGGCGCGCTGGGCTCTGCCCAGACCGCAGCCGTGCGGACGCAGCGAGTGAAGGCAGGCACGTCAATGAGTCGGATGATTGCTGCCAGGGCAGGAACAGCATTATCCACCCCACAGTCGACTGAGGAAGTTGACCCACTTCTGGCCTGTTTCTCGTCAGGTGAGTTTTTGTGTGTGTTTTTGTTTGCTTGGGTCTTTCCTCTTTCGAATCGCATGGCATCGTTTAACCCCAAGACTCCAACGCTCGGCTCAGCCTACAATTGCCTATTCCAGAGTGTCCTATGCGTCATATTGGTGGCATATCCCTTCTCTTCCCTCACCCATACGGGCGTATATTTCTCTCACTTCTTGGCCTCCTGCATATATCCAACCGTCTTTCGCGGCCGTGCGTCCTTTCCATAGGCTGTCGTTGCCGGTGTCGGATCCCCCTTTGTGTTTTGACTTGCGCCTTCCCCAAGACAGGACGGCTCTATCTCTCTGACTCCAAGTGGAAAGAAAGGGAATAATTGCCATTCAAAGAAGGAGCTGTCAAGCGAGAGCGGCGATGCCCATTTTCGTTAAACCAAACCAGTGAATCAGTGCCTCGCTCCTTCCCTTTTCTCCTGTTGCCCTTAAAATCCTTCCCAAACAAGTACTTGTAAATGCAGTACAGAGGGCCAAAGGGCGAGGAGGTGCGATCCGCGCGAGCAGGTCGTTGTCCAGTCCCAGTTGCTCAAATTGGCAATTGCTCAAAATGGCAAGACCATGCCATCTCATGCGCCGTCGAAAGTCGAACGATACATGGCAAGGCAGGCGTGAACAGCACCGTAAACAACCGGCATGATCCTTCCTGTCTACCTGTCTGCACCTTTGACAAAACCCACCCTCTGTCTCCTTCCTTCCTCAACTCGCCTGTAATTGCCTCACATGATCATGCCGCATCGTTCCTCCCCTGGTCTCTCTCAGCGGCTTACTTACATAAATCCGCCTCTCCGGTCAGCTCTTTCCTGTCACCTGGTATAAATATTACTTTCCTTCCTTTGCTCCCTTCTTTCCAAAATATCTTTACATCCTATCACGAAACCTTTCTTCCATCATCCTCACTCTTCATCCCCACAGTATCATCTCCTCCTGGTAACAGCTCTTCTCTTTTCTCACCCCATTCCCCAACTCACCAACTCTAACCCCCCACGTCACCCGCGGCACAGCACGCTCCTCTAGCCTGTGTTAGTTTCTTACCCGTTTCGGCAATCCTTCCCCCTTCGCTTTCGACCGGCCCAACTCACTAATTCTCGCCTTTTGCCGCTCCAGCGCAGCTTTCCGAAGGCCTAGCTTCCCCGCCGCCGACCACGCCAGCGGCTGTGACTCTTCCAGGTCTCACAACCGCGTTTCCGTCTTTTTCCTACGGCTCCGTATTTGCTGCCGTCCCGTCGCCGACTTTCTCTTCAACGCAACGCAGCCCACAAACGCTACGCATCCCACCCGCTCTGCGCTCTTCTCGCACGTCTCGCACTTTTCACTGCTCGTCGCCGCTTCTTTTTGCCACCATACCTGCTCAGACTTCAACCGTCTCGCCGACGTCTCTCCATACTAGATTGTTTTCCTCGTCGCCCACCGTCACCATGTCGGCCTCCTCGCAGCGGCGTTTAAATTACGACAACATCAATCCCCATGTCAAGGCCGCCAAGTACGCCGTACGAGGCGAGCTTGCCGTGCGCTCGGAAGAGTATCGTGCGCGCCTCGCGAAGAACGACACCTCCCTCCCCTTCAACCAGATCGTCTCCGCCAACATTGGCAACCCGCAGCAGCTCGACCAGAAGCCCATCACATTCTTCCGCCAGGTCCTGAGTCTGGTCGAGAACCCACTTCTATTAGAGAATGAGGATGTCCTGATCAACTCGCTCGGCTACAAGACGGACGTCATTGCACGTGCCAAGTGGCTGCTGGAAAAGGTCGGCTCGGTCGGTGCGTACAGCGCAAGCAATGGCGCACCCGCGATCCGCCAGAGCATTGCCGACTTCCTGGAGCGCCGCGACGGCTACCCGGCGAACCAGGCGGACATCTACATGTCGGCGGGCGCCTCGTCGGGTGTCAACACCCTGCTGCACGTGATCTGTGCAGGTCCCTCGTCGGGCGTGCTCGTGCCCATTCCACAATACCCGCTGTACACGGCGTCGCTGTCGCTGCTGAATGCCCAGTGCGTGCCGTACTACCTGGACGAGGCGCACAACTGGGCGACGGACATGGACGCGGTCCGCACGTCGCTGCAGGAGGCCCGCAAGAACGACGTGGATGTGCGCTCCATTGTCGTCATCAACCCGGGCAACCCCACGGGCGCGTCGCTGTCGGAGGAGGACGTCGAGGCCGTGATCGAGTTGGCGCGCGCGGAGCGGCTCGTGATCATTGCCGACGAGGTGTACCAGACCAACGTGTTCGTGGGCAAGTTCCACTCGTTCAAGGGCGTGCTGCGCCGGATGCAGGAGAAGAACCCCGGAAAGTACGACAACGTTGAGCTGGCGTCGCTGCACTCGGTGTCCAAGGGCATGGTCGGCGAGTGTGGCCACCGCGGCGGCTACTTTGAGCTCGTGGGCTTCGACCCGCAGGTGCAGGCCGAGATCTACAAGTTTGTCAGCATCATGCTGTGCGCGCCCGTGGTCGGCCAGTGCCTGGTCGAGCTGATGGTCAACCCGCCCAAGCCGGGCGAGCCGAGCTACGAGCTGTACGACAAGGAGTACAACGGCATCTACAACGGCCTGCGCGAGCGTGCGGTGGCGCTGCACAAGGCCTTTGACCAGATGGAGGGCGTCGAGTGCGGCGAGCCGCAGGGCAGCATGTACCTGTTCCCGACGATCCAGCTCTCGGAGAAGGCGGCGGCGGCGGCGGCGGCAGAGGGCCGGACGGCCGACGAGTTCTACTGCCTCAAGATGCTCGAGGCAACCGGTGTGTGCGTGGTGGCGGGCAGCGGTTTCGGCCAGAAGCCCAACACGCTGCACTTCCGCACGACGTTCCTGGCGCCCGGCACCGAGTGGGTGGGCAGCATCATCAAGTTCCACAAGGAGTTTATGGACACTTATAGATAAAGGATGCTTCTCTGTTCCCGGCACCGGGGAGAATGAACTTGTCTTTGCTAGAACAGCATCGCTACTCACTCTTTGGTTATGATACTTGGATCGGAGTATATTTGAGAGATCTGCTTAGACATATAACGAATGGAATATTCAATGGTTTCTCAACAGTACTGTGTGTTGTACGTGATGTGTTTGAATGTGTCGTATTTTACTAATGGTTTATAAAATGCGTCAAAAAATCAAGACTCGTCCTGTGACGACTCCTACCAACCAAACAGCAAACACCTGTCCCTCCTTGACTCTGCTGCAGACGACCATGGTCGTCTGCGGCTCGTTTCCCACGATCCTTGCGGCCCTCGCCAACGCAGGTTCCTGACTATGCCCGCTCGCTTCCGCGCAGGCGCACGGCCTGGCCGTATTTTTGCAGCTTGGTAATCAGCTGGTCGCCCTGCCGCACAACGTCCTGGTACTGCTTGTTCTTGTCGTCCGGCCGGTTGGTCTCGATGACGCCTTTGCCCGAGACGCGGTCAATGGTGCAGGGGATGCGGCCGGCGGCAATGAACTTGGCCAGGTCGCGGTCGAGGAAGTCGACGGTGACGCCAAAGTCCTGGGCCATGCTGTCGAGCCCGACCACGCGGTACGACTGCAGCAGCTGCTGGTAGGCGCGCAGGCGCATCTCGCGGATGAACCAGCTCTTGTGCTCGTGCAGGTAGCGGTCCTGGTTGAGGAACTGCTCCTCGACCTGCGCCAGGGCCTGGAAGAACTGCTTGTAGCGGCCCGTGTACAGACTGGCCACCAGCTGCGCCAGCGGCGAGAAGTCGACCGCGACCTCGGCCTCGGGCTGCTCGAGGCCCGTGCCCAGCGTCGTCAGGTTGACCACGCCCTTGGAGGGCCCTGCTGCGCCTGATGCAGCGCCTGACGACGCGGCCGCCGTGGCATCCGCTTCCGCATCCGCGTCCGCGCCTGGGCCGGCCGAGATGACACCCGACAGCGCCAGCAGCTTGTCCTCGCCGTCGCCCAGGATGGCCTTGATTTCGGGGGCGTCGACGACCTTGGCCTTGAAGTCGACGCGCTTGAGACTGACGGAGCCGGCCAGCACGGCGTAGACGACGAGCTGGCTGTAGGTGCACAGCTCGTAGCTCGTAAACGTCGACAGGCTGTCGAGCAGCAACGGCGCGGCCACGCTGTAGGAGCGCACCGTCAGCAGCGACAGGCCCTCGTAGGCCTTGAGGCGGTTGCGGCGGTCCCAGTCGCCGCCGGCGTCGACGAGCGCGGTGGCGCGCTCCAGCAGGCGCTTGACCAAAAACTTGTCGCCAAAGAACAGGCCGACGCGCACCATGGCCAACACGACGTCGATCTTGGCGCCCAGGATGCCCGTGTTCTCAAAGACGGCCTCGTACGCGGCCAGGGCCTTGTCCTTGTCGCCGACGCGCGCCCAAAACTCGGCGCGCTTGCCGCGCACCGCCTGGATCTCGGTGTCGCCGGCCTGCTCGACGGCCTCGTCCTCCTCGGTCTGCAGGCCCGCCAGCTCCGTCTCGTTGTCCTTCTGCAGCGTCTGGTACAGGGACTCGTCCCAGGCGAGCGCGGCCGTGGCCGTGGGGTTCTTGTTGGCAATCATGCCGACGGCGCTCGACTTGCGGCTCAGCGGTCTGCCGGGCGGGATATGCGGGGCGGTGGTGGCGGCGGCGGCGGAGGAGGAAGAGGAGTTTGTCTTGGCAGAGGAAGCGGTCGCAGAGGAGGAGGAGAGGTCGCCAACGCCGTTCAGAACGCCCTCGACGGGGTGTGCGAGGTACCGGTAGAGCGGTGCCATCTTGTGTTCGCCAATGGCCTCCTGGACGGCCTTGACGGCGGCCTGCTGGGCGGTGCGGCCGGCATAGGGGTTGGTCAGGGCAAAGACCTGCTGGGCCAGCGGCAGCAGCGGCCACTTTGTGTATTGCGGGTCCGAGCCCATGATGGCAGCGAGAGGGACGGTTGATGTAGAAGTGGTGACGCCGGAGACGATGTCGTTTGTCCAGTGGAAAAAGCAGCTCGGCCGTGCTCGCTCAGAGAGGAAACGGGCGATGGCAACGCCCAGGGAGATGCAATGGTCGATGGCTGATGCGCTGGGAGTCGTCGCCGAATGCAATGCACGTCAGAGGCTGGTTGTGGCGTGGTGCAGTGTGGTGTGTGTGTAGATATGCAGCTCCAACTCGATTGAAGCTTTTTGGAGGGGACAGAGTGGGCGGCTGGTGGGAATTGGGGCAGGTGTGGCCGCTAGGCGGCAGACAAGGCACGCGTTCCAGGGCGCCCCAGGCAGGGCAGGCGGCCGACTCGCACTTTCCAAGCACACAGGCGAAATCGCTTGCCGAGCAACGCTACTTATGTCAGCAGCCAGCTCCACCAATTCAGCCGCGTAGCGCAAGAGCGACCACACTCAGCAGCTGCTCTGCAAAACGACATCATCTCTGAATAACACAACATCTGGTGAAGAATATTAAGACACACAATAGCTGCATATAGATCTAGAAGCAAAACCGTTACTTTGTCACTGTTAGACACCCATCCGCCGTCCTTTACATCGATATTCGGGACCACAGAAAGCGCATGACGGGTGTTTGGGCTTGAAGAGCGTCACTTTCGTCTTGCCTTTTCTTTTTTTCATTTTTCTTTTTTCTTTGCTTTTCTCCTCCTTTCTTCCCTCGCCTCCACGCCCTTTCCACGGCCACTCGACATGGCCGACAACACCGAATCTGACTCGCGGCATAGCCAGGGGAACACCGAGCGACACCGTGATGCTCCGAACGAGCGCCGCCGCTCGCACTCGCCTGACCAGCGTGACCGTCGAGACTACAGAGATGATCGCCGGAACGACCACTGGGACGACCGCCGGGACGACCGCCGGGACGACCATCAACCAAAGCGCGGGCTGCAGTCGTATGCTTCGCGACGCGACGAGGAAGAGCGCGACAGGCGCGGCAGCAGAGAAAGCAGAGACTACCGCGACCGTGATTACAACGACGACGCCCGCCGAGCCAACGACGAACTTCCACAGCCGTTTGACGCACGGGCCCTCGAGCCGGCCAAGAGACGTGCCCGCTCAAGGTCTCCGGGCGCGTCAGGATTGGGTGCTGGCGGTGGCGCGGGCGCAGGCGCTGGCGCTGGCGCTGGCGCTGGTAGTGGTGGTGGCGGCGCCGACCTGCCGCGCAAGCCCAAACGGCCGGGCCAGCGGGCTCGCATCACCGATGCCGAGCGCGAAGCCATCCGCCAACGCGCCCTCGAGCGCGAACGCCACAACAAGGAAGAGCTGGAGCGGCGGCAGCAGCGTGCCGTGATTGACGACGTTGTGCGGTCGCATTACAACGCCGTCCCCGAACGCGGGCGCGAGTGGCGCAAGACGGCCAGCACAATTCGGGGCCTGCGGTCCATGAACAACTGGGTCAAGAGCTGCATCATTCAAAAGTTTGCGCCCGACGAGGACTTTGAGGAGCGCACGCTCCACGGCATCGGCGGCGCCGGCCAGCACGAGCTGCTGGTGCTCGACATTGGCTGCGGCAAAGGCGGCGATCTCGGCAAGTGGCACCAGGCGCCGCAAAAGGTGCAGCTGTACGTGGGGCTGGACCCGGCCAACGTCAGCATCGACCAGGCGCGTGACCGGTACCGCGAGATGACGACACGGGGCGGCGGCGGTGGCGGGCGCGGTGGACGCGGCGGGTACCATCACCGCGGTCCGGCGCGCGTGTTCGATGCGCGGTTCGTGGTTAAGGACTGCTTCGGCGAGAGCATTGGCGACATCAACATTATTCAGGACGTGGGCTTCGACCAGAACCCGCTGTCGCGGCGCGGCTTTGACGTTGTCAGCATGATGTTCTGCATGCACTACGCGTTCGAGACGGAGCAGAAGGCACGCACCATGCTCAAGAACGTGGCGTCGGCCCTGAAGAAGGGCGGCCGCTTCCTTGGCTGCATCCCCAACTCGGATGTGCTGGGCGACCAGGTCGAGCGTTTCCACATCAAGCAGGCCGAGAAGAAGAAGGCCGACGAGGCAGCCGCTGCAGCCGCCGCCGCGGCACCGCCGGCGGCGGCCAAGGAAGGCCAGAGCGGCGAACCGGGCGAGGACGGCGAGATCAAGCCCGAGGCGCCCGCGGCGTCCGAGCAGACGGCCGAGTGGGGCAACAGCATCTACCGCGTTCGCTTCCCCGGCGACACACCCGCCGACGGCGTATTCCGGCCGCCGTTTGGCTGGAAGTACAACTTCTTCCTCAACGAGGCCGTCGAAGAGGTGCCCGAGTACGTCGTGCCGTGGCACGCGTTCCGCGCGCTGGCCGAGGACTACAACCTCGAGCTGCAGTACCACAAGACGTTCCCCGAAGTCTGGGAGGCCGAGAAGGACGACCGCACACTGGGCCCGCTGAGCGAGCGAATGGGTGTGCGCGACCGGAACACGGGCGAGCTGCTGGTCAGCAAGGAGGAGATGGAAGCAGCGGGCTTCTACGTGGCGTTCTGCTTCTACAAAGTATAGGGCGGCTTGGACGGACGGGCGTAGGACCGGTTGTTATGACACGGCGACTGGTATCTGTGGGTTGCGACAGCGTTAAAAAGCGTTCGTTTGGGTGTTCAGGGCGTTTGACAAGAGACCTGGCAGGTTGTGGGTTTTGTTCTGGTGCTTTGACGGATATTGAATATTTTTATCAAAAAAAAAAAAAATGAAAGAAAATAACTGGCAGCCAACCGCTATCTATGCCAAAATACAAACGTACGGCCATGCAAAGAAATGTATAACCAAAAGGAAAGGAAGGCAAGGGACGGCAGACACCACTCAGCCTAACCGCACCTTGCGCCACATGCGCATGCACTCTTGGAGGTCGACAGACAGCGTGCCGTCGAGGGCGCTCGTCGAGTCCTTGATCAGGGAGACGAGCAGCGCCGCATACACAAACGTCTCCATGTCCGCGCGCAGCGCCTGCAGATCCGCCTTCTTCATGCCCCCCAGATCGGCCCACGACTTCCACTGGTCCAGCATGCGGCACAACTTACCCGCAAACTCGCCGTCGCGCACCATGCGATGCAGGACGTGGCCGGCCATTTCCTTCATGTCCGCGTGTGCCGGCTGCTGCGGATCGGCGGTCTCGCCGGCGCGCTGCTTCTTCTCCCGCAGCAGCCAACGCAGCGCATGCTCTGCGACCAACCGCGTGTCCCACTTGGCGCTGTGCAGGGCCTCCATCTCCAGCTGCTCGCGCCGCTCCCGATTCCGCTCCATGTCCGCCCGCATGTCGTCGATGCGCTGCATGTTCTCGCGCGCCCGGCGGTCGCGCGCCGCTGCCTCGCGCTGGTGCGGCGGCAGACGCTGCTCGGCCTGCTCGGCAAAGCGCGCCTCGTTCATCCGCTGCACAAACCGGTTGTGTCTGTGCATGTGGTCCGAGCTGTGCTGGGTGGCCCACTCGGGCGTCTCGCTCTCGTTGGCCGCGCCGAGCAGCACGAGCACGCCACAGGGCACCGTCTCGCGGCGCGCAAACGCCAAGATGTCGTCGGGGATGCGGTAGTTCCACAGAATCGTCTGGCTGCTGGTGCCGTACGCGGTCGCCGCGCTCGCAAACCACACGCCGTCGCTCACGCCGGGACGCACACGGATATGCTCAATGTACAGGCTGTCGAGGTTGACTGTGCTTGTCAGAGGGAAGCTGGTGCTGCCGCCCATCGTGTTGTTCCTGGCAACGCCGCCGGCACGCCGCTTCTCCTCCGTCAGCGCCGTAATGATGCCGTCCACAGAGACTTGGCAGGTGATGGGCGTTGTTGCCGCGGCATACCCCTCGCGCGTTGCCGAGTCGACCGAGTTGCGTTGGCTTGCCTTTGTATCCTTGGCGTTGTTGGCCGTGGTAGGGCGCGAGGACGCGGCCGACGACGCAGCGCCGCCGGCACCTGCCGCATCATCGGCCGGTACTGTCTCCTTGTTGTCTTCCGCAGGCTTCTCCTCTTCCTTGTACTCGGGTGGCGGCGCCGGCAGGCTGACCCAGTATGGTGGCAGGTCTGAAAAGCTGCGGCAGGTCCATGTGGGCTCCCAAGAGACACTCAGTGACAAGTTGCCGTCGGAGTCGTCGAGCGTCGCAACAGCCAGCGCGTTGTGGTGGCCGTCGGGCGACTTCATGAGCGCACAGCCCACAGGCGTCCACAGACCCGTCGACCGCAGCAGGCGCCAGCCGTGCGGGTCAGGCACGGCGCCCAGGTCCAGCAGGTACGAGATGAGCTCGTCAAAGGCGATGTCGACCTGCGGCTGGCGGAGCTGGTCGGCGTACTCGACGCGCTGGGTTTTGAAGCCGATGGCATTCGTCTTCCAGTTGAACGTCGTCCAAGAGCCACCAGGGATCGAGCTGGGGTTGCGCGACAGCGTCCAGTACTCTTGGCGGTGCTGGAACCGGTCCCACGGCGTGACGGCGTAGCGTGGCAGTTCAATCTCAATAACGCGGTTCACGACGTCGCTGCGGGTGAGCGCCGTCAGGCGGCTGTGGCGGAGCATGCGCTTGATCTTGGACGCGTTGACGAGCGTGATAAACGTGTTGTACATGATGGGCAGCACGCCCAGCACGGCGAGCGGCACGCCAATGTAAGTGATGATGTCGGTGGCCGAGGGGCCATTGTTCGACATGGTTGGAGCTTGGCGGCTCGGCGTCTAAGTGAATTTGCGTGTATCGTAGAGGGCGAGTCGGCAGATCGAAAGTAATATCCGTCCTAGGCAAAAAGCGCCCAAGAGAGGAATATAGAGCGACTGATAAAAACCACAACAATGCAACGAACAAAAAATGAGCACGAGAACAAAAAGGAGAAAAGGATTCTAGATCCCCGAACATCGTAGGTTCGTCAAACCCCTGTCGTCTGCTGCAGGCAGCTGGCCAATTAAGCCTTGCACTAGCTGCTCGCGGCATGGCGCGGTCCCGCCTCGGCAGTACGTCAAATGGTGACAACAGTCCTCGTTTCAAGCGCCACCAAGCTGTTGTGGAAGCAAGCAACGGGTGTTGCTAAGTGGTTGTGTCGTGAAACGTAAGAGTTGAACGTGATCCTTTAAAACGTTAGTCTTGAGCGTCGACGTAAGACAGAGGATACGTAAAATGTGATTATAGCACCAGCGTTACATCGTCACCACCGTCCATCAATCAAGTATTGAAAAAGAAATCGCAAATCATATGCCAAAATAAATTTATATTCAAAAGTATCCAAAAAGATATCTGATCCCCAAAACATCATATTTGATCTTGCGAATACGCCTACGATAACTAGACTTACCTTGACCGAATTGCTTATATTGCTGGATTGCGAACCTGAAAGAAATCTGGAGATGTCGTTAGCAAAAGCCCTTCTCCAGATCGTTTGCCACTAAAAGAGAAAAACTGTGCTTTGTATCAGGAATCGTGCCTTGTCACAGGCAATTATCATCAAGGCATATAGCTATGTAGACCGTCGTGATATATATTTATGATCATCATCAAAGCAGGGGGGAATGTCGTTGAGACAAAGAGACAAAAAGGCAAAGCGCCAGTAAAAGGGACTTTTCACGTACACAGCGAAGTGGCGGCTGAATCAGTAGTAATGTTGCCAATGAGGTCAAGACACTGCGACTGTTAGAACACTTTGCAACACAAAAATGTATCGAGCCGGTCACGGGAAACAGCAATAGCCAACTCAGACAGGACAATTCTCATCTGTGCCGTTAGGCTCTGACATATGCTTGTCATTTGGTAAAGTCAGATCATCATTGGGAGGCAGGGCTGCTGTGATGGGTTTCAAGGGCATTATTGCGTAGACGGAGAACAATGCACATACCATATCAAAAGTTGTCAAGGAACTGGCAGCCATGTTGTCGCAATAACAAACGACACTGTGATGTATTAGCTTATGACCATCATGGGACAGAAAAGTCGATAGAATTGAGAGGATCCAAGATCAGGAATGCATGAATGGAATTATATTTTATGTTGTCTGCATCGCTAACGCGGATAAGACTCGTCATCTAAAAAAATCATCATATTGGAGGGGGATCAAGTATGCAGTGCAGTGCAGTGGCGCTCTGCCGATGCTGTGAAGCTTACCTTGTCGTTGCTCTGCAACAAGACAGTCTCTACAGTGTGTTCATATCTCCGTTGGCTGACAAGACGTTAGTCGTTGTTCAGGCCTGTCGGTTGCCTTCGAATCCTTCCCCGCCGCGGCATCACGCGCCCATTTTGCAATGGGATTTAATTCAGTGGACGAGGTTTTCTAGGCCTGTCGCAAAAGTGGCATGTCTTGCTCATACTTGAGTCGGAGCCCAGTGCCGTTTCATCATAAAGGAGGATGCTGCGGGCGGACGGGGGAGGACCTGGCGGAACGCTGTGTTCGTACCTTTTCGTTCATTGACTATTTCCGTTGTCAGAAATAGGAGTTCTCTCGACACGTGGAAAGCAAGGCACAAGAAGCATGGTGAATGCACAATCAGAAACAGCCAATTGTTATCTTCAGGAGCCAGGAGGCTACTCAGTCGGTAATTCCAACTTGCCGAAGCAAAAAGAAGATCATCATAAAGTGCAGGACGAGACGAAAACACAGAGACTGGTCGTACCATTTGCGAAGAGAGGGACGAGGAGAGAGACGACTCGACTACGCGTAGTACATTCTCCGTCTTCGGCCCAAACACGTCGACATCGACAAACACCAACCGACGACATCTATCGTGACCACCGCATCCTATTCTTGGCAAGTTAGCAATCAGTCTCCGGCTACAGTCAACAAAAACTGGATCAGCAATGCAAAGCAGCTGCTTCCGCAATCGTTCTTTCAGACTGACGTGACAAAAGCAGTTTCATTCCTAAAGGTCAAAGACTCTAGTTTGTATGCGGTTTGTTGAGTGTCATCAGGAGACGGTGGAAGCAGTGCGTGTCGTAGAAGCCAATACTCGAAACTTACCGTTTGTTGGTGTACTCGTAAGCGAGGTGTTGTGGCTGGCTGCAGCGCGACCGTACCATCGTAAGCTGCAGAACGGTGAAGTCGAAAGAGAGGAGAGGAGGAAGAAAAGCGTTAAAAAATTTCAGAGCTGGAGCTTTTGTCGTGGGCAGAAAGAGTGGGGAACTGGGTCGAGGGCGGTGAGCACTGGAAGAAAGAGCGACCAGTCTTTGCGAACGGCAAGGGGCCCTGCACGTGAGCTTAATTAAACTGGTCACGGGACTGCGTGTTGGTTTCGCTTCCCCTTTGCCAAGGAAGGAGCGTTAGGCAGCGGCACGGAGGTGGCTGGCGTGTCGAAGCTCGCTCAGGGGGCAGGTACGGCACACGGCATAACATCCAGAGCAAAATCTCCCAGGCTGTCATTTCTTGCTGCTCTCCTTTTTTGTGTGACATTTCGTCCCTCCAGTCTTTCTTCCTTGCCCCAAATACGCGGTTCATATCATTTCGAAATTCGACCACCGCCTGACCATACTGCTTTTGAGACGAACACTGCCCACTATGCCCGAGATCGCAGAAGGTAAGCCTCGTCATTCAGACCGATGAAATGGAACGAAATCAAGCAGCAAGACCACGATGGAACATGGCGACTAACTTCATAGCCGCGCGCATTGTGCACTTCCTCAAGACCCATCTGGTCGGAAAGCGCATCAAGACGGCCAGAGGCATCGACGACGCCAGCGTGTTTGGCAAGGTGGGCACGACGGGCGATGCCGTGGCCAATGCTCTCCAAGGCAAGAAAGTAGTCGGGACAGGCAGCCAGGGCAAGTACTTTTGGCTCGTCCTGGACAGCGCGCCACATCTGGTGATGCACTTTGGCATGACGGGCTGGCTGCACATCCGCGGCATGCGCACGGGCTACACAAACTACTACAACAAGCTCAAGCCGGGCGACGCCGACGCATGGCCGCCCAAGTACTGGAAGTTCCAGCTGGAGACCGACTCGAGCCCCAAGGTCGAGGTGGCTTTTACAGACCCGCGCCGCTTTGGCCGCGTGCGTCTCGTGGACTGCCCCGGTGCCGCCATCCGCAAGCACTCGCCGCTCGTCGAAAACGGCCCCGATCCCGTCGTGGACGCCGACACGACGTTTACGGAGGACTATTTCCTGTCGACGTTGCGAAAGCGCCACGTGCCCATCAAGGCCCTGCTCCTCGACCAGGCGTTTATCAGCGGCATCGGCAACTGGGTGGGCGACGAGGTCCTGTTCAACGCACGGCTGCACCCGGAGCAGTACTGCGACGAGTTTAGCGATGCACAGATGAAGACGCTCTACAAGTCGATCCGCTATGTCTGCAGCACGGCCGTTGATCTGCTGGGCGACTCGGACAAGTTCCCGGCCGGTTGGCTGTTCCAGCACCGGTGGGGCAAGGGCGGCAAGGACTCGGTGGCCCGGCTGCCCAACGGTGAGAAGCTCGCGTTCCTGACTGTCGGCGGACGTACCAGCTGCTTTGCGCCCGGACTGCAGAAGAAGAGCGGCAACGTGGCGCCAGGGATCAAAGAAGAGCCCGTGGTGATCAAGGACGAGAAGCCAAAGAAGGCGGCTGCTGTGAAGCCGCAAGCTGCCAAAAATGCGGTTGCGACTACGAAGAAGGAACCCGTCAAGAAGGCGCCTACCGCCGAGAGCAAGGGGGCGGGCCAGAAGCGTAAGCGAGGCGCAGTCAAGGAAGATGCGGACGACGAGGGCAAGGCTGACGACGAAGGTGAGAAGCCGTCCTTGAAATCCACACAAAAAAATGGTGCTGCCGGCAAGAAGGCAAAGACGGAGCCCGCGCCGGCCAAGAAGGCGGCAGCGAAACCGGCCGCAAAACCTGCTGCCAAAGAGACACCCGCAGCGAACATTGGCCGGCGGCGGTCGACCCGACTGAGCACGAGCTGAGAGCGCGGCGATCTTTTTATTTTTGGATATTTTTGTTTTGGTCCCCGAATTGCTCTTGTCTTTGTAATATACAACATACTGCATTTCCATATGTTAGGTGTCATTTCTCCCATATTTTGCATCATCCTAGGCAGCTTCATTGTCCGCGGCATTGGCTTGCCTGCTAATCTCTCGCAAGACGTTATTTCCGCGGAGTAGAGCTGAGTATTTCGTACAATTCGTACAGGTGAGCGGAGTATTTCGTACAATTCGTACAGGTGAGCGGAGTATTTCGTACAATTCGTACAGGTGAGCGGAGTATTGCGTACAATTCGTACAGGTGAGATCGTTGCTCCAAATTCTGGGTATCACGCAATCAGGCACCAGGTAATCTCGAATGGCGACCTTGGAAAATTCAGGCCCCAGCATCGAACGGAAATAATGGTGCCTGTTTCGACAGGCAGATATTTTTGCACGATATATAAAAGCGACAAACAACGAGTGACACTCAACCGTTCCAGACGGATTCAAACCATCACCGATTGAGCCTTTGTCATTTTTCTTTCACACTTGCACGACGGCCGTCTTTCTTCACTCAACGTCACCATCATGGCCACGTCTAGAACAACGTTCACCGACCAGAAGGACACCTTCGAGGCGGCGCTCAACAGCTTTTTCTCTGGCAAGCCGGAGGAGACCGAGGCCGACCTAACGCGCTTAGTGCACCCGTCGTTCCGTTTGACGGCCGAGTTCGAGGACCTTGATTTCCCGGGTTTCGTCAAGCACGTCACCTGGCTGCGCGAGAACCTGCCCGCCAACGCCGTGTCGCTGACCATTACGCAGTTTTTGGTCGACGGCAAGCAGCGCGCCGACCGCCATAGCTCGACAACCAAGATGCCGGACGGCACTGTGCGCGGCGCCGAGACGTACCTGTTTGCCGAGGTCGCCGACGACGGACGTCTTCTCTGGGTAAAGGAAAATGTGATGCGGCTCGGCATTCAGCAGCCGGACGGCACGTTTATTAAGGACGCCGTGGGGCCCAAGACGGGGGAGGCAGAGACGAAGGAGAAGTAGGAATGGCTGTGTTTTGAATTGGACTCGCACCACTTGGGTTTGCATCAGTTTGCTTGGCCCATTATTTTGGATGTTTTGGATATTATTTCACAAAGTCAAGTCACCCAATTCGACTTTTTATTCAGACGCCGCAGCACTATACGATGACTGACTCGCCAAACCGGCCAGAACCTTGCCGGGTCGATGCAACTGGCGAGTCGTAATCTAACCTCATCCGAGATTTTTATGTCAGACGTCGACATTTGGACAGAAACGGTCGTCCCTGTACCGCATTTGTTTCCCTCTTTTTTAAATAAACTTTCTATGCCGTACTTTTTTATGTCATCATTATTTCATTATTTCGTATCGACTATGCCTCTCCAGGTGCCACCGACGACTCTCCGGACAGCCTTTCCGACGCACGGTTGCTCGTCACTGCCGCCTGTCGACGATCTTCCCCACAAACTTGCCCTTCATCAACTGCCATCCTATAAAAGTTTTAAATGTCTCAGCACTTTGTACTCCTCATTTGACCCTTTTCTATTTTGTGTCGGCTCTCGCTGGGTCTAATATATACATATTGTCTGTTCGGCCGGCTACCGTTCTCTTCGACTCTCCCCCATCTGCCTAAAGATGGGCGCCGCTCGTCGTCTGGCTAATGCATCTCGAACAGGAAATGGGTTTTGAACCTCCGCTTGTTTTGTTTGCACACACCCATTTTTTTTTTTTTCAAATGAGTTTTGTTTGTTCTTCACTGGCCATTGCCACCCCCATTTCATATCTTTGCGGTCCCTTGATCGACAATTGTGCCGAACGACCGGGTGAGCTGACTTTGGACGGCATCAATCAACTCGACATATCGCAGCTGTACCTCCCATACCCTCCAATGGCTATGCGCATATTTATCCGTCACTGCCGACAGCCACAAAACAACTTCCCCAGTCGTCTCCAGCTGGTCTCCCCACTGCCGAACAACCCGCCTTTTCTAAAAAGGGAGAAATTGAAGCTTGAAGAGAGGTGAGCGAGCGGGGAAGCGAGAACATCCTGGTTGGCTGCTTTTCAAGTTTCTCTGGTCATCGATTTCGTGACATCTTATGCTTTGGACATCGACGTCTACATCGAGAGGACAAACCCGTTCGTGCTGTGCATCTCCGGGTTTCTTATTTTATCACTCAGATCAGGGGTATTTGCGCGTAATGACATAACGCACGAAAAAAGGGTGTCGTGGTGTCCTGTGCGATTCGAGAAGAGGCCGGACATCGATCAAAAACTTAATTTGACCTAGATAGGTCGTTTAGACATCCTGGCCTCTCCTCACCTGTCTCCTCACCATCCCCTCCGTCCACCATTCTGCTTCGAGTCAGTCTTCGTTTTATGTCTTGTTGGTCGCGGGGTATTTCTCCAGCTCGTCCCCAGCTCGGAAGGCCCAACCTAATTGTAGAAATGAATGAGGCTCTTCCTGTCGTTTCCTCCTTTCCTTTTTCCAAACAACGTCGACGTCGCTCGGTAGCCCTGGCAACACTGCGTTTTGTTTCCACATCGCACATCGCATCACGGCCTCTTCGTTCGCTTGTCACTCGTCGTCTTCTTTTTTGGGGCTTTTGCTGTCTTGGCTTCCCTTCGTTATCCGTCTTGGAAGCGAGTCCCGTTTAACCGGTGGCCTTCTAGGAAACATGCGCACGGCTTCGCTTACCGCGATGCCTTATGGAGTGGGTCATGTCGACGAAGAAGGTGCGCCCAGAAAAAAATAAGACAAGACTCGACAGGAGGAATCACCCCGTTTCTCGCCAAAGCAGGTCGAAATAAACACTCGGGCGTGGATAGAAGGGGCTCCGCTCTTTTTCTTTTCTTTTCTTTTTTTGGGGGGGATTTTTCGCTTCTTTTTTATGCCTCCATCCGTTGTCTAGGCATATTGTCTTGGTATGCCCCAGTTTTGTCGATTTCGAAGCATCGTTTCTGACGTTCCTCGCAGTCCAATGCCCTCGACTCCCGTCGTTGCTCGCCAAACACGGCCTGGAGAATCACAACAGGGATCCACTCTTGCATTTTGCAACCGTCGCGCCCGCACTTTTCATGACTATGCTCTCTGGCGAGTGCTATGGGGCAAGACGGGGTAGATGGTTGACTGAAAGAGGAAGAAGATAAGGACAAGAGTCGGGAAGATGCTTGGCGACGACGGCACAAGATCGTGCAGACAGAGGCGAAGATCCACTTTCATGACAGTGTCAATCACCTCGTTAGGCTTGCAGGGAGGGACACAAGTTGACAAGTTGCTGGTCGTCTTTGGCGCTGTTTGGGCTGTTTGACGTTCGAAAGGCAATGTTGATACAGCCCCTGAGTTGGACGTCATTACATGAACAACAAAGCTGGGGAAACAACACCATGCGTCAGGAACACAGTCGTTCCTTCCGTGTGGTCGATGGTCCCAGTGGAGTCGATTTGCGGCTCCCGAGTCGTTGGAGAGACTTCGGATCAAACACCGTCCAAATACGGAAATTGTGCGTATCTCCCCAAGCGGACATAGAAAAAGGAAAGGGCAACACAATGTGATGGACAATGTGGTGGATCCGTCCTTTCCCAGCAACCCCTCCGCGGCCTGCCCGTGTCCCCTCGGCCCTTCTTCTTTCGATATTTCGAGATGCAATGCCATGGGGGGAAAGAGCATCCCACCCCCAACTTCCTTGCAATCAGCCGCGACATTATTCTTCCACCGCCCCCTTTTTGTACCAAAGGCAACGCGTACAATCGCACACATTCTTCCTCGTCCACCCTTTGTTTCTTTGTTGCACCGTCTGTCACACATCGCTGACCCCATCTCATCCCGCCGTTCCCATTTGTCTATTTTCCGTTTATACTAGCCGTGCCACAGAAAGGTCAGACGAAGTCCAGGAACGGGCAGACCGGCCAAACCGACCAAAGATGGACTCAACCTAGGAACGTGGAGACTGGGAGCCTTCTGGCTCTCTCCGCCTCCACAGTTCTTGGCTCATAGTCCTATACCTCGGCCCCAACAATGGCGGGCATGGGGCAAGTCGAGCCGCCGTCCATCTTGACTCAAGCGAGTATGTTGCTTTCCGGAGCCCTCGATCCGGAATGCTTTCCACCAGTACGCTGGCCCCAGCGAAATAGGGGCAAGGCCTGGCTCGACCCCAGATTCAGGACCGCCCAGACGTTGCCAGGACAGGTACGAGAGCAAGTTGAAGCGGGGCGTGCTCTGCGAGTGCATGGCACTTTGAATCTATAAGTCACCTATCTGTCCCGTGATAGTTCCAGCGGAAGGAGGATCCGAATTCGTTCCAGGCGGTGGCATGGCACGTCTCCTCGTATTGCCCTCTTCGCCTTTTTTCAGGAGCACCAGGTCCATAAGGACAACCCCAATCTCATCAAATGAGTCCAGACCCTGGAGACAATACACTTCAATGGACGCTATGTACGGCTCCCCTGGCAGCAGTATAGAGCTGTTTAGATTTGCTTTCCAACGCACTCCACAACTCTGCCGACCTCCAATTTATCTCGTTCTGTTTTAGACTTATTTTCTCAGCCAGGACCAAACCTGGGCCCATACGCGCCGACAAATCGCAACATTCATCCCCGGGACCGGCTATGCACCGTGTAGGCTGTTGAGGCCCGCCCATCTAACTTCATTTACCGCAGCATGTTTGTCCCACGGCCTTTCGGGCCCTCATTACCGTTTTAAGAGAGGGCTACATTGGTCTTTCAGGTCACAACGATACAGCATCTTGGCAAAAGCGGGCTGCCAATGCACGCCTCTCACATCTCTGGCGGCACTGTTAGATGCACCCTTGGACGACCTCTTCGAGCTCCAACGCGTATACCTTCTAGAACGGCCGCAATGGCTCCAAGTTCTGCCGAGAGCGAACCTTGTTCGAACTCCCACGCCCACGCTCACGGCCATTTGCACTCACACCCTTGGTCTGTGGCTTCGACTTGTCCCGTCCGTCTCGTCTTGCCATTTTCCCTATAAGAGTGGCCCTCGTCTCGCCTCGTCGAATCTTGCCTCTCCCCGTCCTTCTCTTTTGTTTCTCTTGTCTCCATCTCCAAGATCCGGGGCCCCGCATTTCGCAGTAGAGCATTCGCCGCTTCCAAGCTCAAGTCCACATCTCTCGTGCAACTACACTCTTTTTATATAGTTTGTTTTGTTTTGCCTTGTTTGCAACCAACCGCCACAATGTACGCCAACATTGCCGCTTTCTCGACCTTCCTGGCCCTCGTCGCGGGCCAGCAGGTCGGCAAAGAGACCACCGAGACGCATCCCAAGATGTCGTGGCAGAAGTGCTCCGGCGCCGGCTCGTGCTCCACTGTCCAGGGCGAAGTCACCATCGACTCCAACTGGCGCTGGCTGCACGACAAGGGCGGCTACACCAACTGCTACACCGGCAACGAATGGAACACGACCGTCTGCAAGGACGCCAAGAGCTGCGCTTCCAACTGTGCTCTTGATGGTGCGTTTTGAGGGGAGAGGCAGAATTTATGTGTTCAATGTGCCGTATGTGTTCAACGAACAAATGACTAACGATTGCTCCTAGGCGCCGACTACAAGGCCACATACGGTGCCTCGACCAGCGGCAATGCCCTGACCATCGGTTTCGTCACCAAGGGCCAGTACGCCACCAACATTGGATCGCGCTTCTACCTCATGGCCAGCGAGACCAAGTACCAGATGTTCACGCTCCTGGGCAACGAGTTCACGTTCGACGTCGACGTCTCGAATCTGGGCTGCGGTCTCAACGGTGCTCTGTACTTTGTCTCCATGGACGAGGATGGTGGCATGAGCAAGTACTCGACCAACAAGGCTGGCGCCAAGTACGGCACGGGCTACTGCGACGCCCAATGCCCTCGTGATCTCAAGTTCATCAACGGCGAGGCGAACTCGGCCAGCTGGAAGGCGTCGTCGAACGACGCGAACGCCGGTGTCGGCGGCTATGGCTCGTGCTGCTCGGAGATGGACATCTGGGAGGCCAACTCGATCGCCACTGCGTACACGCCGCACCCCTGCACGGACGTCGGCCAGACGCGCTGCGAGGGTGACGGCTGTGGTGGCACCTACTCGGCCACGCGTTACGCCGGCACGTGCGACCCCGACGGTTGCGATTTTAACTCGTACCGCATGGGCGTCAAGGACTTCTACGGCCCCGGCATGACGGTCGACACCAAGAGCAAGTTCACGGTCGTGACACAGTTCATCAAGGGCTCGGACGGCAACCTCGAGTCGATCCGCCGCTTCTACGTGCAGAACGGCAAGGTCATCCCCAACTCGCAGTCGGCCATTGCTGGCACCACGGGCAACCAGATCGACACGGCCTTCTGCAAGGCCCAGAAGGCGGCCTTTGGCGACGACGACCACTTCAGCGAGAAGGGCGGTCTTGTCCAGTTCACCAAGGCCGTCGGCGCCCCCATGGTTCTTGTCATGTCTCTATGGGACGACGTGAGTGCTACATGTCGAGCGGGAGGGAACACATAATGTAACAAGTTGAAAGAGAACAATACTAACAGACACGCAGCACAACTCCAACATGCTGTGGCTGGACTCGACCTACCCCACCGACGGCGATGCCAGCTCCCCCGGCAAAGCCCGTGGTTCGTGCGACACTTCGTCCGGTGTTCCCAAGGATGTGGAGTCCAAGCAGGGCAGCGACCACGTCGTCTACTGTATGTCTTCCGAAGGCGTTGTGGATTTTTTTTGTTTTATTTTTGATTTTGATTTTGATTTTGTCTCCCGTTTACAATACTAACTCTTTGCAGCCAACATCAAGTTCGGCCCCATCAACTCGACCTTTGCCGCCAGCGGTTAAGCGACATACTTGGGTATGGACGGAAACGGGACGGGCAAGGAGACGGCACAAGGGGGGGCTTCGTGTCAGCCTCTTTCATCGCCTTGCTCATTCTATATTCCATGGATGTGAAGTCGGTCTGATAGTGTAAGTTGTGCATGTCTGTTTCCCAGGCACGTGCGACGCAATTACACGAAAGGAGTCGACGACACTGAGTGACAAAAAGAAAATAAAAAAGCAAAGATGGGCATCGTTTGTATTCTAGTTCTGCCAATCTTCTCCCCCTAGTAGAGACAAAAAATAAAAACATAGACCCAGACTTGTGGCATTATCGTTGACTATTTTGCAGGGTTGGCTACACGATAAAACCGACATCGGATTCACGGCGCGCATTGAACCGGACAGAGTATGCGGCTGCTTAAGTGGTCATGAGCCGACGAGAATGTACCATTTCAACCGGGCGGGCCTTGTACTCGTATGTGGGCATTAATTTCCTTGTACAATGATTCATATTATCGATTGGTTAAATGGGTATCGTCTCTCTGCGCAGTTTTTTTTTTCGGGGGGTTTTTTTTTCATGGCCATGAAAATAAACAAAAATAACACACGGAAGCGGTAGAAATATGCAACAACAGACCGTCGGAAAATGATCAAGATCTTTCGCTGTGAAAGGAGATACAACAAGGATAAGAAGAAAAATGGAAAGAAAAGAAAATCACATTCACATAGTCCACACCCACCTATTCCATGGCAGTTTTGTCACAGAGGAAGCCGACAGAGTAGCGGTGCCTCCTTGGATGTCGATTTCGGTCACCGTCGCCGCCGTCGTCCCAGTATATGGGCACCACCGACAGGAAATTCACAAATGCCGAGCCGTCCTTGCGGAAATTGTTGACTTCGAGCTGCATCTCGCGGTTGTGCTTGACCGACTGGTGCAGCAGCTGGCGCACGGCCGGCTGGACATAGGGACTGGGCGTCGACGGCGCCGTGGGCGGGACGGTCGGCTCCTGCACCGTGCCTGGCCACTGCAGGAAGCGACAGTTGCGGCCGAGCACCTCGTCCAGACTGTAGCCGGTGAGGGCGAGAAACGAGTGGGAGGCATAGACGATGGGTGTGTCCGGCAGGTAGAGATCGCACAGGACAATGGGGCAGGAGGCGTCGACGGGGCCGAGGTCGATGGCGGGATGCGGGCGCGCCACGACGCAGTACTAGTAGCGAGTCAGCAGCCCAGGTCGGATGCCATTGCTGCTCCGGTCCCTTCTTGCCAAGGCCGGTTTATGTATGGGTGTACGTATGGCTCACCAAAATCTTCATAAGATCAAAGCCGCTGGGACAGTACATCCCTGGGAAGAAGAAGAGGTTGGAGTCGTAGGCCAAGGCGGGCTCTTGGTCGACGGCATCCTGGGCGCTCGTCTTACGCTCAAGCGTCGCAGGCGCCAACGCCATCACCATGCTGTTAGTGGGCGTTGTGGCTGTCACAGTTTTGTGGCCGGTATTATAGTTGTGCTTGGGGAAGGAGAAACTATTGTCGTTGTCGTATCCAGTTTTGTAAATATTGGAGAGATTTGGGGTCCTGGTCAGACTAGCTCGGATACATAATGATGTAAGTGATGATGAGACCACCGTCAGGTTGGTTTGATGCCATTAGTACTCTAGTATTTTTGACACAAAACATAAGACGGGAGGGAGGAAACCGCAAAAAGACGAGAAAATGTCGAAAACCCTTGCAGCTTTCAGATACTATTCTTCTTTTCTTCTTTATATTTACTTTCTCCCGGCTCCTTCTTTCCGTGACCCTCGACGTGAACCCTATGCGGGTCGGATCTCGATGTCACAGCTCCTTGTCTGGACAAAAAAGTGGACATGCCGGATTGGTAGGTCTGTAGCCAGCGGGTACATTGTAGATCCCGCTGGGTACTCCTTTTTGTTGACCACAAACTAACCTACTACGACTTTAGGAGTCTGGTAGTTGTAGTTAAGTTGGCGAGAGTCGAACATTCTTTGCATTATTTTGGTTTGTTTATTTTGCGTGCTCTGCCAGCGTAGTTTGTGTTTCAAAAAGTAGCCAGATCTTGGTGCATCCTTTCGATTATAGTTTTTGATTATACCTTTCGATTATACCTTTCGATTATACCTTTCGATTATATCTTTCGATTATATTTAAGAATCATACTTTTCGAAGCACGGCGTGAGCTGGTCGGGCAGAGAAGCGATCGTCGATGACGAACCTGCGCCAAGGATCGGCAAGCTCTGGTTCACACCGTTTGCCGGCTTTACGTCTTGCAACGGCTAAGAAAATAAACACGCCCCATCGAACGTGGACATGGGTCGCATTTTCGTGGAGTGGTATTTCATAAACCCCTTATTTATTCGCACTAGTTTTTTCCTCAGTCGTTCCATTTGTTGGACAAGTGGCGTGGGCGTTTCTTAGCAAACAATGTCATTGTCTACAAACCCATTTTGAGTACAGTACAACAAAAAATGGGTGAAAAAAGAAATATATTGCATAAAGTAAAGTGGAATCTGAGAGACCATCGCCAGGGCACAGCAACTCGAGACCCCCTAACCCCATACGGGCATTCTGCTACTACAAAACACCACACACCTGAAAACACAACGGCCAACCACGATCCGTTTTCCTGCTTGCTGCGTCGGTTTTCAGGACTGCATCGGTGGCCGACACGATTGGCTCGTGTAAGACGTCACGTGATGCTCACGTCGAAATCGTGATCGCACTAACAAGCCGTCGGCCGTGCGATCGAGATTTGTCTTGTACGGAGACGATGTTCCTTTTGTAGCTGTCCACTCGCGATCGGCGGCGCAGTACGATGTACAGAATACGCCGTGTCGATGACTGATACGAAGCCTGTGATATTCAGCATCAAAGAGTTTCGCGATGGAAGATCTTCCAATGTACGAGACGGACGGAGATCATGATTGCCTATTTCGATAATTTGCGGTCTGGCCAAATTCGCCTATTTAAATATTATACAAAACGGATATAAGCATATTATGCACATGGTGCAGTGCTCCACTCCGCTTGTGGTTTGGCGTTAATGAGAACGCGGTCGACGCGTTTTCTTCAAGAATCGCCACGGGGCGCACGGAGTCATCGGCACACAGCGCTCCTTACAACCATTATGAACCGGCGCGGTCTGCTCGTGCAGCAGCCTGGGCGCCGCAGTAGCGGTCCTTCGGCAAATCGAGCGTCGTCAACACCCTCTTCGTCGTCGACGCAACAACTGACGCGGCTCGCCCCCGATGACCTGCCGCCTCACCAAACACTGGAGCTGCCGCTGTCCGAGGCCTCGGTGCGCAAGATTGCCGAGATTGGCAATCGCTCGGCCAGTCTGCGCGTCTACGAAACCCACCTGAAGAAGTCCGCCGAGCTGCTGCGCGAAGCCGTCGGCAACGTCAACGAGACCCTGGCCGAGCGCATTGCGCAGCTCGAGGCGACGGCCGAGCGGCGGCGCGAACGAGGCGGGGACAAGCCGGGCGAGGGCGAAGCGGCGCTGATGGAGTCGGTGGCGCGCCTCAAGGAGAGCGTGGGCGACCTGACTGCGCTGGTGGAGCGGGGCGCGCGCACGACCATTGACCGGCAGATGGAGCTCGAGGACGAGCGGCAGGCGCTGACGGCCATGGCGTCGCGGATCGAGGCACGGTACCGTGAGGACAAGCAGCGGAAGCAGCAACAAGAGCAAGAACGCGAAGCGAGGGCAGCCGAAGGTGGCAGCCGATCACGGCGGCGGCGGCGGAAGCGGCGGCGGACCGATGACGGAACGAAGCAAGAAAACAGCAACGACGACAACGGTGGAGACGAGGGCGACAGTGGCGAAGATGATGATGACAACGACAACGACGACGACGACGAAGACATTGCCAACACGTACCAGGGCCCGCCCGCGGCGAGCGCTCTGAGCATCTTGCGCGAGGAGCGTGCCATCCGTGCCGCCGCCTACGCCGAGATGACCGCCCACCAAAAATACGGCCTCAACAACGACTACATTGCCTTCAAGCAGATGCTGCACGTCAGCATGTACCCGGACGACGATGTGCAGCTGCCCGATGCGTCCCAATGGTTTGACGCGGCGGGCGAGCCGGCCCCATACGGGCCCGGTGCCGGCAGCGGCGCAGGCGACAGTGGCGACGAGGTGGACGGCGACAACGACGACGACGACTTGGTCGTCCAGCGCGAGGTTATCAGCTTCAAGTGCCCGTTGTCGCTCGTGGTTATGCAGGACCCCTACCGCAGCAACGTCTGCAAGCACTCCTTTGAGCACAGCGCCATTATGGAGTACCTCCGCCCCACCGGCAGCAGCCGCAGCGCCGCCCATGTCCCCAAGAAGTGCCCCCAGACTGGCTGCACCAAGGAGTTTACCGCGCTCGACCTGGTCCCCGACACCACGATGCGCCGCCGCATCCAGCAAGCCGCGAAGCGCGAGCGTCGCCGCCGGGATGCCGCCGAGGCGGCCACGTCGGACGCCGAGGGCGACGGCCATGGCGACGCGGATAACGGCCCGGAACACGCCCAGGACGTCGACGACATTGTCGACGCCAGCCAGCTGCGCCGCATGACAAAGGCAGAAAGCGAGGCCCGGAGTGTCAAGCGGGAGCGTTTCCAGCGGACGCACTAGTCACAGCCAGCAAAAACGAGATGCAATGCACGAACTACGCGATATGATACGCATACGAACGTTTGGAGCAATGTGGTAGTATCCATTATGAGACATGATTTCACAGGTATTTTATGTACAAATAGACACAGGCAACGGCCGTCGAATCCAAGCAGTCCACAATGTACTCACAATACGAATCGTACACAACGACAATACGCAAACGAATTTCACGTGCACGCCGGCAGCCAAGTGTATCAGCATCAATAGGAACAAGCCAATACAGGTTTACAAGGGCAATAAGCCGCACTTACCTTTTGAAAGACCATTTTGTCAAGAAGTGCAACAGGAAGGAGCAACCAGCACATGGCCAGAGACGATGCGGCAGCAAACGCTGCGGTGGACCCGGTATGCGGTATGACCCGGACAAGGAAAGAGCGATGGCGTAAAGCACTTTGTACGCTCCGCCTACTTCCAGAAGCCTCGATATGGGCGAGCAGTCAAAGACAGTAGACGTCAGCGATGGCTTTCTGTTTGAGATCGCCGTAACAGTCGCTGCCGTAACAGTCGCTACCGCTACCACCCGTACATGGCCGTACTGTAATTCATGCGGATTGTTGACAGCCTACGGGTGATCCTTGATAAGTCTGAAAATAGGAGTTCGCAACCATCCAAGATATGCTGTCCCAGAAGAACAGCCGCAAGTAACAGACTATCAATGTCCTTCATATGTGGTTAGACACCTAATGTAATTGAGTTAACTCGGCGAAAGAAAAGTCGAAAGCAAGAAGGGCCATTGTGGCCACCACTGACCAGGACCGACTGGCGAGAGATTGAGCATCTACATTGTAAACGATGTCCTCTGCAAAAACGACAAACTGCGACGGTGAATCTTTGTAGGTTTTCTGACATTGTATTCGTCGTCCTCGCCGACGCTGTCATTGTTGTTGCGTTCTCTTATTTTGATGCCGGTATGTGGTACCTGTGACGTATCTGGCAGGTACCAATTGGAGCTTCCAGCTCAAGTCTAGCTGGGCAGGTGCTTTCCCGATAAGGCCCCACCGTCCTCCGATAAGGCCACTGAATTGTCGGTCCGTCGTAATTAGCAGGCAGCTCCACCCCTGCCACCCGCCCGCACCTGCCCACATCCAGGTCCAGCTGGTAAACAGCATCCCATTTTGCCTCCTTTCGTCTTGTCTTTTGTCATCTCCTTTTCGTCCACCTCGACCAACGCGACCGCCCGTCTCCCTCCGCCGCGCCCCTGCGTGCCCGCCAGCGACTCCCTCCCCTACTCCATACTATGGCGCAAGAAGTCCGCATCTGCGTCTGCGGCGACGAGGGGACCGGCAAGTCCAGCCTGATCGCATCGCTCGTCAAGGATGTCTTCATCACGAACAAGATCCAGGCTGTGCTGCCCCAGATCACTATCCCGCCCAACATCGGCACGCCGGAGAATGTCACAACAACCATTGTCGACACGTCTGCGCGCCCGCAGGACCGCACCACGCTGCGTAAGGAGATCCGCAAGTGCAACGTCATCTTGCTCGTCTACGCCGACCACTACAGCTACGAGCGCGTTGCCCTGTTTTGGATGCCCTACTTTCGCTCCCTCGGCGTCAATGTCCCCGTGGTTCTGTGCGCCAACAAGTCCGACCTGACCGCTGCAGCCACGGGTGCGGCGGCCCCAGCCACGGGCCCGGCAGCGCCGTCTGGTGGTGTGCCAGCCTCGGGCGGCAACAGCCCCGGGAGCGACGACCAGCTGGCGCAGGTGCTCGAGGAGGAGATGGTGCCTGTCATGCAGGAGTTCCGCGAGATCGACTCATGCATCCGTGCCAGCGCCCGCGAGCACCGCAACGTCAACGAGGTGTTTTTCCTGTGCCAGAAGGCCGTCACCCACCCCATCGCCCCGCTCTTCGACTACAAGGAGGGCAACCTCAAGCCCGCGTGCGTGGCCGCCCTCCGCCGCATCTTTTACCTCTGCGACAAGGACCAGGATGGCTACCTCAACGACCGCGAGATGCACGCCTTCCAGGAGACCGCCTTCAACAAGGCTCTGTCGCCCGAGGACTTGGCCAGCATCAAGCTGACGCTCGCCAAGGCCGCACGCGGCGGAGGCACCGACAACGGCAGCGGTCGCGGGGATACGACGACCGGGTCTCGGCGAGGCGGCGGGCCTGCACGCGGGACCTCGTCTACGGCGGCTACAGGCTCGCGGCCCGTGTCCAGCAACGGTAGCAGCAGCACGCTCGGGCGCAGCGCGGCAGCTGCGTCGGCGTCAGCGGCGGCCTCCGAACTCGTCGACCGCGGCATTGACCTGGCGGGATTCCTGCAGCTGAACCGCATCTACGCCGAAAAGGGCCGCCACGAGACCATCTGGGTCATCCTGCGCCAGTTCCACTACACCGACAGCCTGAGTCTTGCAGACAGCTTTTTGCACCCGCGCATTGACATTCCCGACTCCGCCTCTGCCGAGCTCAGCCCCGCCGGCTACCGCTTCTTCATGGACCTCTTTTTGCTCTTTGACAAGGACAACGACGGCGGGCTCAACGACGAGGAGCTCGCCGCCCTGTTCGCGCCCACCCCCGGCCTGCCCGCGTCCTGGGTCGAGGCCGACTTCCCCGCATCCACCGTGCGCAACGAGGCCGGCCACATTACGCTGCAAGGCTGGCTGGCCCAGTGGAGCATGACGACGTTCCTGGAGCCCAAGACCACGATGGAGTATCTGGCCTACCTGGGATTCGAGGCGCCCGGCGCCAAGGGCCTCGCTGCTGGCCCCACGGCTGCGTTCAAGATCACCAAACCGCGCAAGCGCCGCCGGCGTCCGGGCCGTGTGGACCGCAACGTCGTGCTGTGCTACATTGTGGGTGCACCCGGTGCTGGCAAGTCGTCACTGCTCGATGCATTCTTGGGCCGCCCCTTTGACCCGCTGCACCGCCCCACCATACGGCCGCGCCGTGCCGTCAACAGCGTCGAGCTCGAGGGCGGCAAGCAGTGCTACCTGATCCTCGAGGAACTCGGCGAGCTCGAGCCCGCCGTGCTCGAGAACCAGGCGCGCCTCGACCAGTGCGACCTGCTCTGCTTTGCCTACGACTCGTCCGACCCGGACTCGTTCAGCCACCTCGTCGATCTGCGCAACCGCAACGGCCATTTGCTCGACGAGCTGCCGGCCGTCTACGCCGCGCTCAAGGCCGACCGCGACAAGACGACCCAGCGCAGCGAGCAGCAGCCCGATGCCTACACGGCGACGCTGCGGATGAGTGCCCCGCTGCACGTCAGCGCCACCTGGGAGAGCATCAGCAATCTGTTTGTGTCGCTGGCCGAGGCCGCCACGACGCCCAGCCTTGCCTTTCCCAAGAGCGAAGAGCCCGCCGCCGACCGTACGAGCCTTTACGTGGCCCTCGGCGCCGTGGCATGTGCCGCCGCTGCCGCCTTTATCATGTATGTTAACGTTGCCGTGCTTTATTTTTTTTTTCTCAGTTCCGTTCCGTTGCTGATGCCAACACAGATGGCGAAGGTCGACCAGCCAGGCATGAGGCCATGTCTTTCCAGATGCCATTTTTTTCGATCTACTCATTGTCCCCTGCTCCTCACCGCCATTTCCCATCGCCACTCCTATTTGGGCGCTTCTCATGATACCCAGCTCTTTTGTCTTTCGTCCTTTTTGACACGAGTTTCCACTTCTTGTAACTATATGCCCCCTGCATAGCACAGTATGCTCGTTGTATTATAGTATTTTATTTAATATTTTTGCATCCTTCTGTGCCCGTCGCTGCACAACCACAATGTCCTGTGAAGCATGACCGGGTCTGTTCTCTGTACTCCATACGCCATCTTGTCTCTTCGTCCAAAGGTCACTCTGTGTGCGAATCCTGTCGTAAAGTCTGGTGGAAGGTACAGATGCACCCTGCATCTGCAGGTGGTTACTTCCCAGCGGAAAACCGGCCTGTGTCGCCTGCCTTGCCAGAAACAGTTCGCACCAGTAGCTGCTAGCTCGCACGTTTGCGGGGTCTGACAAGGCAAGAACACCCACAAGGCCAGACCACAGACGTGGGAAAGAGGGGCAAGGCACGGCCCAGACAGCCAGCCACCCACCAAAAGGACCCAACCGATGCTGAACGGCCGCCTCTGAGTGGTCGGCGCTTGCACTATTTGTGGGGTAACGAACGACCCAGCTCCTCACGCCTTGCCCTGTTCGACAGCGCCAGAAGGGCATTCTGGCACCTTCCCAAAAATGACCTATCCGCAGCGAGGCAGGCACAACCCTGGGACAATCCCGAATCAACCGCCCAAAGACCAGACGGGGAAGTAGCAACGGACGGCGGCGGGTTAACACTTTCTTTGCCCTCTCGTCGTGATCTTATTTTGCCCTCAACAACAAATATCCATCCACCAACCGACAACATCGACACCCGCCCATTCTGTGCCTCAACAGCGCCTATCTCGGCTTTACCAGCGACGCTTGCGATAACGTGTGCATGCACTCCTTGGTCTGACCCTGGTGCGGAGACATTTCGGTGTGGTGTCGTCCATATTCCGTACAGTATTAACGGACGAATTGCAACCGACCCAATTCGACGACGAATCAACCGACGACTTGAACGACAGCTGGAGAGCACCGCAAACAAAACAGCGGACAGACTGTCTGGCTCGTGCGACCAACTGCAGGGACAGCCTTACTGCGGTGTCCCCCTCGAACCAAGTCACGGCGTCCGCCATCGCCGACGATCATTGAAACCATTATCGCAACGATCGGCAGCAGACTGACGACGGTTGGACGACCCTGACGACAGCCTCGTCTCCGACCAGCTCTGTGAGAGGCATCCCGTGGTCCATTGCGCTCATACCTGTCAGCCTTGTACAACAGCCGCCCAAGTACGGAGCACCGACCTTCAGAACTCGGCGACCTCGTTCGCGACGACTATTTGTGACACCAAAGACGTCAAAAACATTAATAAAGACACCGACAGCAGTCTACTGGGACTGCCAGTATCACAGCCGCAACCATGTTGTACGTTATGCTGTCGTGTCGCTTGAACCAGTGTCCTTTGCAACTAACATGCTCTCCAGTGTTCTGCCGCCCCCGCCTCGGTATCCCAGTCAGATGCTGTACAATGGCGCCTATCTCAGTGGCCAGATGGTCCCCATGATCGAGACCAACAACATCCTGTCACACCCAACTGGTCCCGACTGCCAGTTCCTCGTCGGCGAAGGTATGTTTCTGCGCTCTGCTCTGCTAATGGATTGCCGCCTTGCATTCGGTCTGATTGACGTCCATCGCCAGGTCTCTACGTCCTCGAAGAGGACCTTCTGCTCGCGACGCCCCCGCCGCACCCTTCGGAAACGCCCGTCGTCAACCCTAACCCGCTTGCGACGACTCCTCTGCCTGCTACTGCCGGCACCAAGATCTCGATGGTCGCCCTCGTCGATCCACCGCCGCCACCGGCTCTGGCCCTGCTACTGTCCGGTGCCAACAGCACGGCTCCTCCCGCAGACAATCCGGGATCGTCCTCGGGCCCCTTTGCGACAGTGGAAGAACACCCGGACGGCGAATCCAGCAGCAGTGCACCCACAGGCAACGCTGCAGGCGACTCTGCGACGGGCCGGCTGAGCTTCAACACCAACAGCGCCATGTCGGCTGGCAGCGACACCGCGCTGGCGGGTGCTGCTGCCTCCGGTGCGGCGCCAGGCACGGCGGCCGATGCGACAGCCGGTGGCAGCAACCCGTTGACTGCCAACGGCTTCAACCATAGCGCAACGTCGACCACCAGCGCCCTCGCGACCCTGGCCAGCATGGGCGGCACCAAGGCCAGCGGCGGCAAGCAGCGCAAACCCAAGAACAACGTGACCAAGAGCAACTCGTCGTTCATCTCCCGCGTGATTGTCAACGACAACCTGGCCAAGCGCCTGCAGGACCGCCCGGCCACCGGCATCTTTGTCTTTGCAAACATCAACCGTGCCTTCCAGTGGGTCGACATGTCCTCCGAGACGAAGAAGGACTACTTCACCAAGATCCTGTTCACCAAAGCGCACTGCCTGTGCCACGACATCAACCCGGTGACCAAGAGCACGTCGCACCTCGACGTGATCATGGGCTTCTCGACCGGCGAGCTCATCTGGTGGGAGCCTTTCTCGCAGCGCTACATGCGCCTCAACAAAAACGGCATCATTCGCGGCACGCCCGTGTCAGACGTGCGCTGGGTGCCCGGGTCCGAGAACCTGTTCATGGCTGCCTTTATGGACGGGTCGCTCGTCGTCTTTGACAAGGAGAAGGAGGACGCCGCCTTTGTGTTTGACGAGGACGAGGCCAATCGCCAGCGCCTGTCCAACAGCACCGCGGCCCGCGCGCACATTCAGGTCGAGCGCTCGATCCACACCAAGGGCCAGAAGAGCAACCCGTTTGCGTTTTGGAAGCTGTCGAACCAGCGCATCAATGCCTTTGCCTTTTCACCACAGGCCAACCATGTCGCCGTTGTGTCCGAGGACGGCTCGCTGCGCATCATTGACATCTTGCGCGAGGAGCTGTTGGGTCTCTTTTACTCCTACTACGGCGGCCTTACCTGCGTGTGCTGGTCGCCTGACGGCAAGTACGTGGTGACGGGCGGGCAGGACGACCTGCTGTCCATCTGGCACGTGGCCGACCAGACGCTCGTCGCCCGCTGCCAGGGCCACCACTCGTGGGTCACGTCCGTGGCGTTTGACCCGTGGCGCTGCGACGACCGTGTCTACCGCATCGGCAGTGTCGGTGAGGACAGCCGGCTGTGTCTCTGGGATTTCAGCGTCGGCATGCTGACCCGGCCCAAGGCGACAACGTCCACGAGCAACTCCAACATCCACACGGCGACATCAACCGGCAAGACGGTCGGCAGAGGCAGCGAGGAGGACGCGGACGGCTACGTGATGGTGGATGAGTCCAACGGCGGTGACGAGCGCGTGCACCCGGTTGAGCCGCGGGCACGGACAGCCATTCTGCCGCCTGTTTGTGTAGGTCGACTTTTTTTGTTGTTCGTCTTCTTTCTTCTTGCAAACAAACGAGAATATCCATACTAACACAATGCAGTCCCAGGTGGTTGACAAGGACCCCCTCTGCTGGCTTGGATTCACCGAAAGCGCCATCATGATCAGCAGCAAGACGGGCCACATCCGCACATGGAAGCGGCCGACCGACAGCGCAGCGCAAGCGCCATAAATAGCCAAGCCGAGGCTCCCAATTTGTGGTTTGGATATCTTTTGGGTACTTTGTTTCTTCTTTGCACGCACTTCACTCACCGGGCGTCACAAGCACTTTGGCATCCTCTTTGTCGACTTATCCTGTCCACTGCTTCCCTTATTGTGTTTCACATCATGCCTTCTACGCCTTGGATATATGTTTCATGTCACACTCTCCTTGTACAAAACGAACTGCTCATTTTTTGGATTGTCTGTTATTGTACGCAGTATTTGTCGATCGCTTCCATTTATTTTTGATTTTGGTCGCTCATTTGGTCTTCAGAAGAAGAATCGCACTCACCAGTCAACAAGTCAACTTCAATGCCAGACAGAAACGATTCCGCTTCTTGATAGCCAAAACGAGACGCATACGCTCCCTAACCACACTTGGTTGCCAACTGCCGACGTGCGTGTCTGATGCAAATGTTCGAAATAGATCACACCGATATTGCTTTGCAAGCGTGGCCCAAGTCTCCAGCCTCGTCCAGGTACGGCGTACTGTTCCAGCAAATGGACTCACATGTGATTGGCTTTTCTACAGGATGGAGCTTCTGCCAATCAGAATTGCATAACGGGACGGAGCTCTGTCTAGGCTCCATGCAGTGCTCCCGAACTGCAGATGGATGACAGTGCGAGTTACAGATTACAGCGTGCAGTTCTAGAACGAGTTGCACCGCGCGTCGAGGGGAGTGGGCGGGCCGTCGCAAAGGCGTCTGTCTATCAGGAGGGCTACGGATACCTGCAAGCGATCCACACCAGGGTCCCGCAGCGAACCAAGCCGTTGTGACGGGAAGACGGTTCGCTGATAACGAGCAGCATCTCGCAAAGCATTGCCCGAAACCCGAAACGGCCCGGCGGTGCCCAGTGGTGTTGACACGGGCTGACAGATGGCCTTGTTGGCGAGTCTCGTTGGAACACTACGCTCTCCCTAGAAATAGGTGCAAGGGCCGACGTAGTGTTCATGTCCTCTTTATGATGGATGCCGCAGATTCCGGTGGACGCACAGAGTCGCAAAAGTCAGGACGAGTGAGAACATGAAAGTACGGTGTACACCAGCTACAAAACCTCGAACAGGGTGGACGATGGCCATGAGGAAATAAAGGCTCGCTCAATAAGACGCAGAAATTCAAGATGCGAATGGAGTCATATTTTTGGACATCTCCAGTTATCAAGAGGCAAGAGGCAAAAAAAAAAAGGTACAACAAAAGCCATTGCCCAAAGCACTGCAGGCACGCCCATACGCCAAAAGAGAATCGGCCAAGAAGGCCCGGCCAGGCTGGTCTCCCTTGCTCTTTCCCAACAAAACCATTCGCAGCCTTGCACTTGCCAGTCAATGCGAACACGCCTTCACAGGGAAAGAGGGCAAAGAATTTTTAAAGCTCGGGCCGTTCTTTATCTAAAACGCACCCCCCCTTCCTGTTACGGACATTTTTCTTGAGCTTCCACAAAGCGGACCCCGGTTGTCGCCTCTGGACCCGAGTCCACTTCTTCCCGCAGCATATGTGGATCTTTTATTTTTCTGCACTTTTTCGTTGATCTGAGTGAGGGCCCTGTTGATCCAATGGCTCCTCCGTCTGCGATACAATGGGTGGATGCGTGGAAAAGTCGGCGGGGCATGGGCAAGAAGAAGAGAGCGTTGTCGGTCGTCTTGGAACGCATCCCTGGACGCAGATACATTACTGATACGATAAAAGAAATGGAGACAAGAAGTGCACATACGGCGTGCGCTGCAAAGGGGAAAACGCCATCACAGAGAGACTAGCCGACCGGGGACGTCGTGGGTTCATGAGCTCATACGACTGGGCAGGCTACAATCAGGTGTCTCAGGAAGTTTCTCCGAGGTATGGGCGCCACAAAAGGACAAGCAGAGACTTGGTATTTTGTCTAGGCATTTCATTTTTGGCTCTATGTCACTTCAGAAAGTGCGGCTTTGCTTCCCCCAGTGGTGCCATGAACCGACATCGCGAGATCTGTCGAGATCGCAGGATACACTCAGCCCTGTAGTACTGTACATTTGTATTTGTATGCATAATATGTAACATGCAACCGACAAGTCCATTTTACGGCCCCTGGAGTGGTGTCTCATTGTGCGCTTTCAAGAAATAGAATCTCCATTTCAATCTGTACGTCGTATTCTCCTGTTCGATGTTCTTGTTCTTGAAACGCCAGGCTCCGTCATCGTACCGTGACTTCACACCGTTTCACACCGTTTGGGCCTGTTCCCGAGCTTCTTTCGCCACCCGCCGGCGGCGGCAATCACAAAATTTCTTCACCTGCCACGTTTTCCGTTGGTACAACGTATTACTATGAGCTAGTTTTACACTCAGCGAAAGCAACGATTCGGCCTCAGCTTAATACGTGCGTCCGGCCTTTGCGACTTGTATTTCGGAGACTCACCTTGGATCCAGCAGCCTCAAGGTTCGGTCAGGCTATGCACGCACTGGGCGGGAGCTATTTTGGACCGAGGAAGCTGTCGTTTCGTCATTAATTGTCTCCTGGAAGCACGGCTTGTTCCTTTTTTTTTTTAGTCCAACGGCAGATTTGCCTGTGACAGTCGTGAATGTGAAAAGCTACCCATTGTGATCGACGGCTTGCCGTAATGCCTTTACGTTTTGTTTCCGAGGTAATTACATTACGGTAGAAGGTAAATACAGGCTTCGTATCCTGTGACCATTTTTTGCATTGTCTCTTTACCTTGTCGAGATGGTCTCGGCCGAGCTGCTAGTATTTATGTTCGTTTTATATTTTTATACCGAGCGTGACGGACTTTCTCTTGATTTGGCTTGTCGCTCTCCAAATGCCGACCTTGGCGGATCTTTCCCGATGGGTGTCGGCAAAGGGGCGACACGGCTGGGTAAAGGTTATTCAGAGTCATTTTTGGTCACTCCAAAGGGCCTGCCTCTCAGATTTACTCTGTGCATCACTCGTTGTTTCTTTCGCTGCGATTGCTTTTTTGCTGGTGCTGTTCACCGTATCTTTTAAAAGTGCTCTCATTTACCCACATTTTACAGAGAAAAATTGGAGCAAACTGATAGCAACATGCGTGAATGAGCAGGCCAGAAAACGAAAAAGAATTGGGCCAAACATTCTTCCTATCGCGTCATCGACACCGAGCACGCCGCTGTGGCGAAGCAGAAATTTCAATCGCGACGACGCCCAGACCAAGTCATGCTATGGCAATAAGATTACTTCGTACCGTTTTTTCAAGTGTTTGATTTGCCGACGAAGGTAAGTGAAGTCGAAAATCAATACAATAGCCAAAGCGATTTCACAAAGCTGTCCGCTTTTCCCAATCCATGGACTTGTCCACAGATATGATTGAAATGTGAGTCAGGTCGTCAGGGCGTCTCGAGTTGGCGACAGCGAACGTTCTTTCCTCGTAATCTCGGACACAATCCAGAAGCTTCGGCCACTGTTCAACACGAGCTCTACAAGGAAGGCGCGGGTGTCACTTTGCTTTGCTCAGCCATGGAATGCATAAGCACAGAACGAGTGTCATAGGAATGCGGCGCTTCGGATTACGAAAGTAGATGAGCCTCAGGTGGATGTATTGATCACACAAGGATGTTGGAAGCAACAAACTGCCCGGCCTTTCAAAGGATCATCGAGGAGGGTGTCAAAGGAGGGAAATTCATAAGGAAAAGCTGCTCAGACCACCAAACGTTCCTTCCTTTTCATCCGCTCGTGCCATACAGTCCGTATATTGTTCGTCGAGGAAGGTCACAATGGGCAGGGGCAGCCGCTAACTTACACGGTCGGGTGCAGCCTTCCCCGATCAGCAGGCGCGCTGTGTCCCGCCCATTCGGGAAGGAGGGGCAGGCCGACTTGACGACCTTCTCGTGTCGGAGACCACTCTTTCGTCGAGGCCGCCTTGCACGCCTTGCACACCCTCGTTTCTTGACCGCTTTCTAGGATGGGCATTACGAAAGGGAGTGGAAGAGAATCAGACAAAATCTTTCCCAAAAAGGGACCCCCTGATTATACCACACAAGAGAAAATAAGGACAAAATCGAAAACAAGGTGATGCCGCTTCGCTCAACGGATACTGAATGGACGTCGCCTTGACCAGCTCTGCACGCCCCGTCTGTGCGAACCAAGTACCAAGGAACGGGACGCAAACCAAAAGAAGTCAAAAGAAGACGACCCATTTGTGAAAGAGGTGGGGAGGATTAAAGGGGAAGGCGGTAGGGTAGGTCCTTTTGCAAGCGTCCCTGCGTTTGGCTCCTTGGTAGCTACGAAGCACGGCTGAGCAAAGGACGACGTTTTACTTTGCAATACTCTGTAAAAGTCTCCGGTTCGTTTCTGTATTCCAGGCCGCTCCCCGCAAAGTCATGCCCATCCAAGACGGAGGAGGAGCGCTGTGCAACGGGCAGCATTTCGTTGGTCTACCTCGTTCCCTCTCTGATCCTTTTCGTGCGTCGATTGTGCGCATCACATTGACCAAACGTCCGACGACAGCCTCACCAATGCTGACTGCGTAAGCCACCAATATATGTCGAGTTGTCCGATAATATTGGTTGACCTTACAGCTTGCTGTCATGTTGACATATGTTGTACGAAATACTTGTCTTCCCAATGTGGTCGGTGGCCGTTTTGTACTTTTCTTTCGGTGGCTTGTCGCGTCCCCCCACTCACAACTTCCTCTTTCGGTCTGGACAAGACGTAAGATGCAGGGCACAAGACACACTGTCTGTATCCAAGCATCGAGCCAAGAAGGAAGGCGGCGGAAACGTCACGCCCAGCACCAACTTCCATCCTCGGTCTTGGGGGTCACTCGCCCGCAATGTCCAGCCCTTCCGCTATATACGCTGGACCTTACTGCAAAACGTTGGATGCACGCTTGAGGGGCTTGCAGTGTTGGCTCCAGAGCTAGCCAACGGTGCATACAGCCTGTCCGTCCTTCAGTGCTCTAGGACCTGGACGCTCTTGGACACCGCTTTGGCAGGAAAAGGGACACCCTCCTTTTTGTTAGACATTTGTGCACTAACGCCTTGGTCGTCGAACCGAGTTGACGAAGATGGGAATTGGGAGGGACAACTTCGTCAAGTTTATGGCAGCCTGGAATGGTTGTCAGACTCGAATTGAAAGCAACTGTAAGCCGCCGTCGATTCGGTCTCCGTCGCTGTCACTGATAATCCGACGGTTCGATAGCGGTTCGATAACTGTCCGTCAGAAGCATTTCTCATGTGCTTCGTTCTGTCGGGCTGCCGTGGTTCCTCGGCACCGTGACTAAGCAAGTTGCGAGGTCAAAGAAACAGATCACGGCATGGTGGAATGTCGCGGTACAAAGGTCCTGTATTTGGAGCCTGTGGCCAGCTGAACCGGGCACATGCGACAGGTTCGCTGGGTGTGTTTGCGTACTTCTTTGTCCTTCGTAAGTCGTACAGGTCCTCAATCCACTAACAGCAGCAATTACGTACGCGGAATTACGGCGTATTGTATGTGCTTCCCGAAATTCTCTCCCATCCTTGTGCCGCTTTCCAACGACTTACAGGCACTGTACCTCTAGTCCCTCTGAGCTCTCAGTATGACTACGTCGAACATGAACCACAGCTATTACAGCAGTTACTGCAAGCAAACACCGCCGTCGAGGCCATCGTACTCTTTGCAGTCTCCGTCCATGCTGCACCCCGTCCTCTGCGGTGGTAGATGCCGCTCTTGCAGATGATAAATGCAGGCAAAACAGTGCTGGGTTTTTCCTGCCAATTGTTCATGGGTGCTGACCTCGGAAGAGCGCCCTGGGAAAGAAGTGCCCCCACGCCTATTCCTGTTCCCTGTCTTCAAAACCGGAAGACCCGTTCACGGAGTGTAAGATGTCGACCGCAATCACATCATACCGAAACCGCCAGCGAGGCCCTGTGTGTGGACAGGCTCAGCGGCCGCTATCCCCACCAATAGGGAGGCCGTCCGCGGCTTCAACGCACCCAGCGCCTTGTACACCTGCGCCTGGCGTATGGTCGGAGTATGGCTTTCTAAGATCCTTCAATTGCTACACTCCTTTTTATTTGGCATTCCTAGCGCGGTGGGTGGGTCCTGCCACCGATATGCTTTTCTGTTAGAACTAGGAAAGAACAAAAGGAAGGAAGAGCAAACTATGCACACCCCCCGTGCGCCTTTCCTCTCCTAGCACCCGATGGTCGCAAACAGGGCTAGGGAATCAAACAGCGAGGTTTTTCCCATGACATCAAGATGAACGCCATTTCTTACTGACCCCGTTCAGTACGAGAGCAACCCATCCACGCAAGCGGTTTTTCACAGCCGCGGCCCTCCAATAGTTGCCACGTCTTGCGCTGCCTCTGCCTCGCTGCTGTCGTGTCCATTATTGTCTTTGCGGTTCGCAGCTCAGCACTAGCCGATGCCACAGCATGAGGATGGAGCACACCTTCAGCCCTGGCTTCGTGAATAAACGAGAGAGATCGCGTCGTATCGTATCGTACGGTCCTGTCTGGCACGCCTGGACATCCGTGTCGTCGAGCAGCACCTCCCTTTCCCAATTGGCGGTGCAGTTGATGAGGCGGGAATATGGGGCCAGCAAGTCAGGAAATAACAAGGACATCAAATAGCTGACAAGATTGACGAAAATAGGAGATCATGTACGAAGTACAAACAACGTCTTAGCCTAACGAAAAGCCGATATGCGGCTGCCAGGCAAAAGACTAGGGGGTTCCGCCGCCGTTCTCTTGCACACGCCCCTCCATCCTTCCATCTCTACCTCGGGCTAGACTGCACCGGGCATGGCTTATCTATGGTATCGTGCGTACAAAAATAACAGAAAATGGTAAATGGTAAAACCGTGAAATAAAAAATAAAATGGTAAAAGAAAAGGAAAATCGGACGCCAGCACGACGCCAGGCAATTCGTCTTCCTGGCGTCGTGCTCGTCGCCGGCCCATTGCGAAATGAAAAACAGAAAAATCTGGAACAAAGAGGGTCGACCGCCCGGAAACACCATATCGTTATGCAACGGGCACTCATGCGCGCTCTTGGCCCTGCCTCCGATGATTTTACGTAGATTTCTCCGTTCCCAGAAACTCGGTTTTCGGGGTGTCTCGTGTTTTCCAGTCTCTCCTTCCTTTTCTTGTACATCTGTAGTTCTCACCTCCTTCCATATTTGCTTCGTGCGCTCGAACCTGCTCTTGCTTCTTCGTCTCCTCTTACACATTTTCTCTCTTGTGCTCTTTCCCATTTTCTCCCGTTCACCTACCACGCCCACGTCCACTCACAAGCACACTTTCCTCCTGCCCACTGCGACACACGGCCTCGTGCGTCTGCCGTCGTCTCTTTCCCAACTGGGAACACATCACGCACGCCCCTTCCTGCTCGCCTTTGTTGTTTTTCTGCCTGCCTTCCCACACCGGGGCAGAACAATCATCACGTTGCCCTCCCCTTGCCTCCCTGCCTCGTTCCTGCTACAACCTCAATCTAAGACCGTCGCTGTCCCGATCTGGCATGTGCATTGACCCGCACCTGCCCTGCGACCGCCCTCCCAACAACCGACTCTGAAGTTCTTTCCTTCTCAGAGTATTATTAGTACCTCTGTCTCCCTGCGGAGCGTTTTGAAACAAAACGTCCCTTCGGTCCCCTTTCAGCAATCTATTTTTCTGCATCCTACATCAACGTTGCACAACTTGCATCACGCTCTGTCGGTACCGCCAAAACTCGCCTCCTCGGGAACCAACCGCGCCCTCTTGGCCCTTTCGACCTTTTCGCCTCCGATACACACACCCAGCACCGCCCGCTGCTCGTTCCCACGCCGTCTGTAAAAGCGTCTTCAGGGCCCTTTATTTCCAATCAAAGTCCGCCGCCAAACAGTCATCGCCTGTCAAAGACGTGTGTGTAATACAACAACGCTTTGGTGTGTCCCCAGGAACGAATGCACCAAAATACATTACGCAGGCCCAACAGCCGCACGTCACTTATAGCGGCCAACGGTTCTTGTAGCGAATCACTTGACGCCCTAGTCGCTTGACGGCTTTTCGATCGCCTTCTCCGAAAACTGGCCGACCCCTGTATCTTATTTATACGAGAAAGCCCTCGGTGCACTGGACTGTTTTCGAGCCAATTCTAACTCCTCGACGTTTTTGCTCGTTCGATCCGCTCGTTTTCGCTGTCTGACGGCTTTTCCACTCTCTTCCAACTTTCTTCTTTTTGGGCAGCGTCTCCAACTGCCCAGGCATTTTCCAGGGAAGACCGCATCCTCTGGAGCAATGCCCTTCAATCCGTTTACGGCTGTGACAGGACGCCATGCACTGACGCTGTTTGACATTCGGTGAGCAAATGCCTGCAAAAGCCTCCAATACCAGCAGCCAACCAGCCTTGTTGCGTGGAATTCTGACTAACAACTTGCAGCCTCGAAAATGACTTCATCGTGTTCCGAGGCAACGAGCATGAGGCCGGCGGCCAGCTGCTCAAGGGCGTCCTCGCCATCTGCGTCCCGACCTCCTTCAAGATCGACGACATCCACTTGCGCTTAACCGGCACCCAGCGCCTCGTCTGGAGCGACCCCAAAGTCACGCCCTCCGGCCTCACCTCCTCCAAGATCGACCGCACAAGCAACATCCTGACCCACCAATGGCCGTCCTTCAAGGGCACCCCCGGCAAGACCACCGTCCTCGAAAAAGGCAACCATGAGTTTCCCTTTGAGCTCATGCTGCCCGGCGACACCTGCGAGAGCGTCGAGGGCCTGCACGAGGCCAGCATCACCTACAAGCTCAAGGCCACCATTGTCCGCGGCAAGCTCGCCTACGACCTGCACACCTACAAGCACGTCCGCATCGTCCGCACGCTCGAGTCGTCCGCTCTCGAGTTCTTGCACGCCATGAGCGTCGAGAACATCTGGCCGAACAAGGTCGAGTACTCCATCGTCGTACCACAAAAGGCCGTTGTCTTTGGCAGCCACATCCCGCTCGAGTGTCGCTTCACGCCGCTTCTCAAGGGCCTCGAGCTCGGCGACATCACCGTCCGGCTCGTGGAGATCCACGAGTTTGTGGCCACACCGCCGTCCGGCAGCAGCAGCAGCTACCACGCCCACACGCGCGAGTTCAAGAACGAGAAGCTGGTGCAAAGCTGGACGGTCGGCGTCAACCGAGACGAGCACTGGCAGGACATGATCGAGGACACCGGCCAGGAAGGCTGGGTCGTCAACACCTCGCTTGACCTGCCCCGCAAGCTGGGACGGTGCATCCAGGACGTCAACGTTCATGGCATCAAGGTGCGCCATAAGCTCAAGATGGTTGTGGCCCTCAAGAACCCGGACGGCCACGTCTCGGAGCTGCGCGCCACGCTCCCTCTCACCATCTTCATCTCGCCTAACATCCCGCTCGACGAGCAGGGCAACCTGACCGCCCCGACCGGCTCGGCCACCACCAACGCCACCAACCTCAGCACCATTGCACCTCCCGGGTACGGTGAGCACATTCTGGACCAGCTCTACGACGAGGTGGACGTCCACAACCTGCAGACCCCCGCGCCCATGTCGGCTATACAGAGCCCCATGTACGGGATGTCGCGCGCTGGTTCCAGCGAGAACCTGGCGTCCATGCACAACCCCAGCATCCCCGTCCACCCAGCCGCACTCACCTCGCGCCTGCAGGACGTTTCGGCCCGCGAAGTTGCCTTCCGCCGCAACAACAGCTCTTCCATCCTCACGCCACCCGGCTCGTCCTCGGACATGACCACGCCCTTCACGCCCATGCACCTGCCTCACGCTTTCATGCAGCGATCACACTCCTATGCGGCCGACCTCGGCGGCCTCGCCAACGGCACCAATGGCCACAGCAGCGCCCCCACCAGCGGCACGGCTAGTGGCAACCACAGCCACCCGCAGTCCGAGGCCGCGTCGCGGCGCAACAGCGGCGAGTCGCGGCACAGCACGGGCAACAACAGCGAGCAGAGTGAGCCCAGCGGCCCCGAGCATATTGACTTTGCCGACCTGCAGGAGCTCAACAAGGTGCCGTCGTACGCCACGGCCATCAAGACCTCGCGCGTGAACAAGATCACTGTCGGCGGCGACGCCGAGCTGCCCGACTACCGCACCGCCGCGTCGCGACCTGCCGTGCCGCGCACTTTGTCGACAGCGTCGACAGCGTCTCTGCCGGCCAACTTGCCAAGCAGCAGCAACAACAACGGCAGCAGCAGTACCAGCAACAACAACAGCGCCAGCGGGCTTGCTCTCAGCTCGGGACTGACCAGTGAGCCTCTGTCGCTCATTGCGGAGGCACCGCAAGAGTCTGCAGGTGCATTCGACGACGTGACGGGCGCACCCGCCAGTCGCGCCAGCAGCAACGACCACAACAGCGGCGCCAGCGACAACGGAGACGGTATTACCATTGCACGCCCACCGCGCCTGCATCAGCGCAGCCGAACCGCCGGCTACCATCCAGAGCAGATGTCGACCTCCCCTGGTTCGGGCCCCGGCGCTGGCTCAGGCACGGGGTCGTCGGGCCGTCGCCGGCCTTTGTCTGGCAGTGTGTCGTTTCTCCACACCCGGCACAGCCAGTCACCGAGCGGTGATTCTGACGAGCGCGGCTGGCTGCAGCTATTGCAGGCACGCGGCCGGGTTGCCACCTAGAGAAACTGCGTGTGACGAAGACGATGCAATTGGTACTGCACAGACGACACAATATACTTTCCTCGCCGCTCGAGACATGTGACACAAGAGCCGCGGGTTTACGACTTGAATTTTAAAACACGAACTGGGAAACGGATTTGTTGGGCGTTCAGCGATGTTTCATTTTTTTGTTTCTTTCTTCCCGTCTCATCTCTCGTCATTTTCCTTTGCAATCTAGACTTTTGGGATATCCTGGGGCGGCATATTACTGTTCATTGTCATTCTTGCGGGCGTTTTTCTTTTTTTTTCTTCTCTTTTTTTCATGTTGGGGCACGGCACCCACGCTACGTTTGCTTCTGTTTGTTCTCCCTTCTCTTTATCTATTCTAGTATATACTATACCCTTTGTCAAATTCTACATGAATATTTTAAACAACAATTTCTTGTTTTCGGCGACCCTGTGAGGACGCATGCTATGCAGACAGCAAACATCGTAAAACTCGTGACGGCCCAACGTCCGTCGAGGTGTGCTTGCTACAGATAAGGAAGACCAGAAAAGTGGCGATGTCCAGACCAACTCAGCTAGATCCAATGGGCACGGATATCCATGATCCGACGGCAAGCACTCGACGATCGGTTAGACCCTTTCTTCTATCGTCAATTTTGAACCTTCCCTCTCTTGTCTGGCGATCCACAGAGAATCACCTCCTAACTGGTTTTACTGCCCCTCTACTGCTGCTGCGCCTTCTTTCGCTGGCCCAGATGGGCAAAAGATTGGCCGTTGCCATCTAGACCGGGCCCATCCCGACTCGGGCTAGTGGATGCATGTTGTGGGTTGCAAGAGGCCTCGAAGACAGCCACGACAGCAACCGTGTGCGTGTGACGTAGAGGACATTAGAAGAAGCCGAGAGGCATGTTTTGTGCTGCCTAACTAGTCTCGCAGTTCGGATGGCAGGTGCGTTGGCTCTGTCGTCGAGTGATACAGAATCCTTTCGGCGTGCTTTTCGGCATCGCGATCTATGTCAACAACCACAGCTCTAAATGACTAAGATGGTCGAATGAAGACGAGCGCCAGGACATGTATGTCGCAGGATACGCCATTATTTTGATGTTTGTTTTCGGGGTGCTTGGTTTTTTTTGCCATTATATGATTTTGTCGTTCCTCATAGCTCTTTGTCCGTCGTCATATTTCCCATGCGCAAAATTCACAGTGTTATGCATCCAAACCAGAACCGGCATTTGTACCATCCGATCGGTCTTCCCGTCATCGGGCCATTAGAGAGGCCCAGAAGCAGGGAAGGAAGGAATGGATATTAAGCGGTCTCAGTGGTTGCAGGAGCCAATGTTCCTGCCCTTTTTGTCCCGTCCTTTTTTTTTCAGTCGCGCTCCACAAGTTGACGTCATAAATGCTATCTGTCTTTCTTTTTCGCATGCGGCCCCTCCATCACAGCATCACATCGGAAGCTACGAAGTGGTGCAACAGGTCGCGCTTGCCAGATTGAGAATGTGCCTTCTGCGACGAATAGACAACTTTCTGCAATCAATGGGGCCCAGGCCCACCACCTAGATTGGGGAGTTGCTCGTTGCTGCTCTTGCCCATTTTACAATGGTCTTCTCTTTACCCTGATTAGCATCGCATCATTTTTGTTTTGTTGCGTCGATCGCGGTTTCCTATATAGACACGGGTGGTTTCTCTTTTTTTTTTGGATCGTCCTTTCCTTTCTTATTTTCCTTTTACTGGCCGCTTCCCCCCTCATTTCCCCCTGAATCGTTTCCCCTATTTCTTTTGTTGTTTCTTAGTTCTTAGCTTTACTAAGAACCGTCACTTTTGGCTTCACTTTTAACGCTTTTTCCCTGACCAAAGACGCTTGTCTTTGTCCATTCTTCTCTTCTTCGCCTCTTGTCCCTGGATCGGCGGCTTTACCTGGCCCTAGGCGGCTTCTCCCAGTACTGTAAGTTGATTCAAAGGGTCCAGCACATTTCCCAGCAAGCGTGTTTTTTTCTGCCAACATTTGCGTGACTCTCAATCTCGATCATCTTTGCGACCATCTCGACCATTTCGCCATTCGCCATGTCTACCATGCCAAATCGTCGAGAATGTGCCCAGACCAGGCAGGCCAGGCCCACACAGGTCGGTGCTCCGGAATCCTTGCCGTCGCATTCGCGCGGCAGTCAGCGTCTCTTTTCAGGGGGTCCTGGCTTGGCTTTTATCGGGCACTTGGGGCTGTGACGTCTTTCGGATCGCTCGTTCGTTCAGCAGCAGCTATTTCAGAGGGGTAAAATAAAATGAACCCACTCTCAATGGCCCCGTCGCACACGTCGTCTCATTAAACCGCCCGGCATTGTTGGGACTCTGAGGGACCCCGCTCTAGCGAACAGGAGCTTGGGCTATCCGTCGATTACCCGTCTCCTTGGCTTTCGTCCGACCTTTGTCTTTCCTCTTCTCGTGCAGTTACTGTGCCTTTTTTTCCTGATTTTTTATTGAGGCTGTTTAGTTTCATTAACTAACATCCTCGTCAACACAGCAAGACGTCGGGTTTCATCTTGACTCTCTGCAGACACCCGTGCCGATTTGTGTCACCCTTTTCTCTTTGTTTTCCCCTCACCCTACATCACGCCTTAGACCGCCATGACGTCCGTCAAGCAGGACCTGCCCATTCGCCAGGGCACTGGCCTTACGTCCGTCACCAGCGCCGGCGACGAGGCTGTTCCCGATGCCGACCCGACCAGCGTAAGCGCTCCTTTTCATTCGCGTCTATTCCAAATTGCGGTGCATCCGGACATTGGGGACCCAAGACACTGACAAACTCCTTTCAGACAGCCGGTCTGCTGGCTGAGCGCATCCAGGCATGGAAGCACATCTGCGGCAACCTCGAGGATTATATCGGAGCCGTCGAGAAGCTGCACAAGGAATCGGCGGGCCAATACGAGAAGGTCCTCAAGACCATCTCGAAGCCCCTGCGTGAAGGCCAGCACTTCGACTCTCAACTCGGCGGCATCAACGGCTTCTTCGACAATATGCGTGCCAACACGCAGGCCCTAATCAACACCAACCTCGAGACCGAGAAGAACATCAAGGGTTCCGTCCTACCCATGCTCGAGCGCCTGCACAAGGAGATCAAGGCCAAGGCCAAGGAGCTGGCCCAGGGCGCACAGAAGGGCGCCAAGGAGGTCGAGAAAGCCCGTCAAAACACCCAGAAGCATATCGAGCTGCTGGGCCAACAGACGGCCTCCTTCGAGGCCACCGGCGGCAAGATGGATGCCACCCAGGACCCCTACGTCGTCCAGCGTGGTGTTCTCCACCGCCTGAACAAACAGGTTGTCGAGGAGAACAACCACCGCAACGACCTCATTTCCGTCCAGACCAACTTTGAGACGTTCGAGGCCCATGTCATCGAGGTCCTGCAGCAGGCCATGGAGGCCTTCAACATGTTCGCCGGCGGCCAGGCGAACCGCGTCAGCTCTCTCTATGGCGACATGCTGGGCGCCATCCAGCGTGTTCCTCTCGACATGGAGTGGAAGAGCTTCAACCAGCGCTTCAGTGATATCCTCATCGACCGCAACGAGCCGGCCCGCACCGTCGAGTCCATCTCCTTCCCCAACCAGGACCATCAGAGCACCCATGCCGTCATCGAGGGCAGCCTCGAGCGCAAGAGCCGCAACAAGCTCAGCTTCGGCACCAGCACCGGCTACTATGTGGTCAGCCCTTCGCGCTTCCTGCACGAGTTCAAGGACTCTGACAATGTCCGCAAGGACCCCGTCCCCGAAATGAGTATCTACCTGCCCGACGCCATCATCGGCTCGCCCAACGGCGACAAGTTCACCATCAAGGGCAAGGATCGCAGCAAGTCCATGGGCAGCCGTCTGGCCGGTACCTCGGAGCTGCAGTTCAAGGCCCACAGCCCGGCGGACGCGGAGAAATGGTACTACATCATCCTCGATGTCGCCGGTTCCGCACACGCCAGCCACGCCGAATCCGCCGCGTCTCCGATCTCGCCCATTGCTGCGTCGCCGGCGGGTAGCGCCAAGGCCAACGAGCTCGCGTCACCTGCTTCGCCCACGGCGGCCTTGTCCAAGTCGCCGGCGTCCAACATCGCTGGCGTCTCGCCGTCGCCTTCACCCGGTCCCACCTCGCCTGCACTGGCATCGCCCGTCATCACCTCTCCAGTGACAGCCGGCACGAGCACCGCCGTCGGCTTCTCGCCAGACACAAAGACTGCTGACGTGGCCCACGAGGCGCAGGAGGCGGGCGTCACATCGACAGCAACAGCCGCGCCCTCGACCAAGGCTGCTGAGGCGGGCGTGGCACCAGCAAAGACCAAGACGCTGGCTTAGGAGACCCCTTCGTCTTACTCGTCGCCTCATGCCACTGTATCCCCGCTTTCCGCCGAGGAGTTGGAGGACTATCTGTCGCCAGATGTGTGGTCGCGGTGAAAGTGCAACGCCACCTTGCTCCTGACCCTGCCATCTCTCGCCCCGTTCCTAAAACGGGGCGAGCCCAAAGTGAAGGAAAGTCTCTAGATTTGCAACGCGATGGGGACGACATGTATGCCGCATCGGACAGTCCCGGGCCCATGTTGGCCAGGGTAACGACATCGGCCAAGACTGCAATTCTGCATGGGCAGAGGAGGCAAAGAGGCCCTCGCCTAGACGAAAAAGGAGACAAAGAAGAGAGAAAAACGAGGCTGTCGTAGGTAGCCTAGGAAGAGAGGACGTGGGATGGTGAGGCACAGTCGGAGTGGAGGCCCATATCCCCTTATCGTTGTGCGTTGACCATGTTTTTTAATACTACGTTTTGTTATGCCTGCTATGGACTTTTTTTCTTGTTACTGATTTCCCTTTCTTTCTTGGAATACGTCTCGCTATTTTATATTACCGCTTAATATTATAATATGAAATTGGATTTTGACTAATACTTGGATGCTGCCGTGTTTTGCATCTTGCACAGGGAATAGTGCTCGTCCAATTCACAGGGTTTCCTACGCAGCCTTGTCTTGTCGTCCTTCCCGCACACCACCATTTATAATCTACGACTACCACCTCAACCACCCTTGTCTTCAACCGGGCCCTTCTGGTATCATTTTACTCTTTTTGTTGTGGCTGAATTTGCTTGGCCAGTGCCAACAGCTTTATATTTCTCCCCCACGCACCGAGTATTGTCTAATCTATTTGGAGCAGGTCGTCTTGGGCCAATCCTTGCTAGACATCTTCAGCCTTGCCGCTAGGCGCTGGAATGTTATGGGACGTTAGTGGATCTACACAAAGAAAAGAAAGGAACATAGGGAAAAAAAGCAGCAATTCCACATGTTTACGATGCTGAGAGTTGAACCGAAATTTCTGGTTCACCGTTCTAATACTTTCAATGTGCTTTTTCGTAATGATTATCTCACTTGGTTCGAGATGACAAGGCCAGAATACCACAGGGCTCTTTGATAGGCCACATCATTTTCGATCCCTTTTTATTTGGTTTGCTGAGCCTCTTGTGCTTTATTTTTTCACCGCCATTTTGAAATACAGACGTCTCTTTACAGACGCCTCTTTACAGACGCCTCTTTTTTGTGACTCTGCCACGTCTATAACTTTTGGCATCAAAAGAGAGACCGTGATATTGTTTTAATTTTCATCGTCGCTGTGCAAATCTGCTCTTTTCAACATCTCCGCTTCCTCGTCTCTGCCATCAGCGAAAGATATGAAAATCATGGGCCGGCATCGGCTTGAGAAGGCACAAAGACGGCCTGCATAATGTTGTCGTGTTCGCCTTCGATGGATACTCTATGTCGTGATTGTACACAGGCACTGCAACCCAGTCAGCTCGATGTGTCAAAAATGCGACGTACATAATTTAGGGAACTTAAACGACGATGGGAAACAGCAATAAAAGATAAATAAAAATGAATTGTTCAAGTGGTGGCTACACCATCTTTCTGTCCATTTGCAGAGCAGACAAGACCATCCAGTACACTTCATTCAGCGGCAATCTACCTCAATCGAATGTCAGATAACCTTTGACGAGCAAAGTAGATCCGACTACGCTTATAGCTCGAGACCTCCTCCCGTGCCTCCCTTCGGCTAGGAGGGAAGGGGGTACAACATGGCCAGACGAACTGGCAGCTGCGCAGGGGAATGCTGAGCCCAGTCTGCCTGCGGTTCGGATCCCATTGGGTCTTTCATCGACGCATGTGCGTGGGCGCCTACCCTGTCTGTCATACGCGCGGCCCATTGGCTGATATCATAGGCCATACTTGCGAGTACAAAGCATGAACGCAAATCGTAGCCTTGTCGGTCAAACTGTCGGTGGTGTCCCCGACAAATACCTCTTCCCTTCGTCGGGCCTCTTCTTATTCTTTCGGAAAGCTGAAAGGCATTTACTGGTTTCTTTTCTTTTTCTTGGTTGCTCTCCACGGTTTGTTGGTGGTCCCCGAGCGGGAACCAAACTGAAAAGAGAAAGAGGCGGCAGCGACGAAGCGAGGTCGAGGCAGAGACGATAGCTGAAAATGGAAACCGAAACCCTTCCACTCAGATTTGGGTCGTCGTATTTTTCTTCTTTTTTTCTTTCTTCCTTTTTTGATACTTTTCCCCCGTCAGGGAAGAGGGTGAGCAGGGGATGGTAAACGCCTTTTTCGTTTTTCCGTGCGTTCCAGTTTGGCCAAGTAAACATGGCAGTAAGCAGGCGTCGACGCCGTGAATGCAAGATGGGGCCCGAAACAGATTTTCGGCCACAACGGCCAGCACAACGCCATCGTGCGTGAGGGTGTGTACAAAAACGAGCTTCGTAGTGGAAAGAACAGAAACCGCGGACGAAAATAATTTGGTAAGACGAATGTATTGTGTCAGGAAAGAAACATTGTTTCGATAAAACAGGGCGAAAAAAGGCGTCCTGTTTGGCCGTCTTCGTGGCCCTGTCGCCTCAGGCCAGGTGTGTGCACCAATAACAATCGTTCTTGTCCGGGCCTTGACAACGACGGCCAAAACGTCGCAAGGCAGATATATGTTGTCCCCATTCCTGGAAATTGTCGTCCTGCCTCAGGGGTGTCCACCTAGAGAAGGCTGGGTGGGCGCAGAAGCGATCGTCTCCATCTTTCATATTCACACGCCAACACCAACTGGTTTCGGGTAGTGGAAGGTGGACAATTGCCAGCCGGCTCATGGCAACGAGGAGAATCGGTCTGCACCTTCATTTGAATTCTTTCTTCTTCTCCTTCTTCGTCTTTTTCTTCCCTCTGACTTTTGTCGTTTCCTTTCAGTACGCGAGCCAACACCGAAATAAGAAAAAGGCGGTGGACCTCATCCGCGCAACCATTTGTATGCGCTGCTGCCATGATGCCATTGGTTGCCTTATCTTCCGCAAGAAGGGCAGAGGGAACAGGGGCAAGGCCGGGCGTCTGTCTTTGAGGGTGTGTCCCGACCCGCAGGCGCCCCGCGCGAAGTGTCGAACCGATGAGGCTGAAACCGCGTGCTGCTGTTGGCTGGTCATATTCACGACAGGCGTCCAGAAAGGCACCGAATCCCCAGGCCGCAGACCGCCAAAGGGCCGCACTGGGCCGCACCGCCAGAAAATAGCAGTTTCGTCCCTGACCCAGCGTGCTCTGAGGGGCCACCATGTGCACAAATTGTGTACTCCGCGTTTGCCTTGTCCTCGATCAGTCGCACCGACGAGGAAGAGCATGGCTCTGGTGACTGGTGCATTGTTTGCTGCAAGGCGTCATTGTCAAGGTTGACGAAGCATTAAGGTGGTTAGTGGTGTGCGCGTATTGTGGCAGTCCACCGCAATGCACAAAATGGAGAATTATGTTGTTGTTGTCGTGGATGTGTTGTCATTGTCGTTGTCGCTGGCCTGAGAAAAGAGGGTAAGAGAAATGGGATAGAAAATGGGGAGGAAGGGGGCACAGAGCAAGACACGCATTGAAGTGTCGAGGAAGCCGCGAGGGAGCGAGGGCGTCTAAGACGGAAGGAGCAGCCGTGGGTAGCAGGTACGTCGACTGCCCAAGGTGGAGGAAGGTACCTCTGGGCCTTTTGACCTGGCTTGCACATTCTACATCAGAAAATCTTGCATGGCGTCTGTGGTTCGTGCATGCCATCTCTTCTGCACGCTGGATGGCCGTCGTCTTCTTTTGTCTATATAGACTCCTCGCATCCTTTGTTTTCTCGCCCTTGAGTTTTCTGTTCCCGAGACTTTCTTCAGTCTCTTCAGTCTCTTCAGTCTCTTCAGGTCGTTCTCCATCGCGCTTTCCTTCCCAGACATTGACGTACCTAGCCTTGTTCCTTCCCTTTTTCCCTGCCGTCTGCTCCTTCCTCCTTGAAAGCCTCCCAGCTGTCCCTCCTTCCTCACCTGTTACTCTGCACTTGCTGCTGTCCACTGCTCAAAACATCTTCGCGTCGCCTTGTCCACCTATTCGCCACACTTCTTCTCTATTTTGCCAAACACCGCATCTCTGCTATACAATGACAAAAGCCTGGGCGGACAACAGGAAGACGATACTGGGATACTACCAGGCCAACAAGTACCCGCTCAACCAAGTCATGGTTCTCATGGCCACTAATCACGGGTTTCACGCGTCGTATGTTTCCACACTCCTTGCAATATTGTATGTTAAACACTGGGAAAGACGCTTACTGACATATCTTTGCCTCTTTGCCTTCAGACAGCGGGCGTACCGTGACCAATTCCGCAAATGGGGCATTAAAAAATACAACCGCAAGGAACGGCCAGTGTCTCGCAGTGGGCGATGTTCAGAGCCCCGTGAAGGGGCACGACCTTCGTCGTCACCAACCATCGCCTACTCTCCTTTATCACAGGGAACTCCCCGGTCCATCCACGCACATATGGAGCGCCAAGACGGAATCAGCATCCTGCAGACTGTGCCATCTTCCTATTCGGATATGGCATCGCCATACTCGGCGCCGACTCCAAACCCAGGCTTTTACAATGACGGATCCGTTTCGAACCCTGCAGGTCAAAGCAGTGCGCCGCAAGCCGCCGTGGGCAGAGAGTCGCCGTCTTCTTTTCTTTTTTTGCCGACTTCTGATACCGGCACAACCATGAAGCCGGCGGTGCCGTGGCAGAGTTCGAATGGTGCCAAGAAGCAGCAAGACGAGCAGAACAACTACAAACTGCCGTACCGGTGCCGGACAGCTCTTGGTTCTTCCAATGCCTGGACCAATTCTCAGGCCCATCATGACCCGCGTCCACCAACCAAGGGTCTTGACAGCCCTTCGTTGCCTTTGGGCGACCTGCCCCCGGAGTATCAGCATCCGGCAAGGCAGTTTTGGGGCGTGAACCACAAGTGCCGCGAACTGGACGGAAAGCCGCGGGCCTTGGCTGCCTCGGAGCATGTGTCTGTGACTGCTGCACCGCCGTATGAGACCCGGCGGTACCATCTAGTCTCCTCGCCGCCGCACTCTCAGGGCCAGCCACCGTCGCCGAGCGCTGCAAAGGCCATATTCGAACAGCATCCGGTGCCAAGAACCCTGCCACTGTCACCAGTATCGCTCCCTGAAATTATTGTCCAGCCGTGTCTGCAGCGGCAGGATCACAGCTCTTCATACCACCCAAGCGCTTTTCCAGGTACAATGGATTTTATGCGGCCGTACGATTCGGCGTACTCTGCGCGCGAGGGCCTATCCGAGGCCCCTTCGACTCATCAAGAGCCTGGGCCAACATCGGTGGCAACGTCTACATCCTGCCATGAGTCGGGATACCCCGGTTACCATCTTGTTTGACTGCTCCACCCACTGAACCGATGAGACATGTGAGCCGCAGGTGGTAAAGTGTTGATGGGCATTCTCTTTTCTGTTTGTGTTGGTTTTTTGGATTCCTTTTTTCCTTTCGAACAACGGCTAGCGCCGATTCACGATTCTCCCACATTGTGCCGTGCCGTGCCTCGAAATTGCCTGTCGTCACTTGGTATTGACTAGTGGCTCTTTACTGACTTTGACTCTCTCTTGCTTTGGTATAATTTATATTCTCGAACGAAGGCCGCCCGGTGTGGTTTGATTTTCGTCATTGGTTTGATTACTGGTTCGTTTTGGACTCTTTTCTGTCCCGTTGGTCTTTCCATCTAACTTTGCGATTTGGTCACTGCAGCTCTTATTTCCGAACTGATTCGTGCTGTTTAGAGTTTGTTCATTTGGATATTTGGTTTTGTCTGTGTATGTATGGATACATACTTTTCACTTGGGCTCTGTGAGGCTGCTGTAGACTGCCTCGAAACAGCCCCGTCTCGACTTTGCTGTTGTTTGTAGGTCTTTACTCTGTAGCTTTTTAGCCTTTTGTGCACAATCTTATCATATCTATAACCACTAATATAGTATACACTGCGGAAGTTTACTTGAAAACATTATCTTGCAAAAACAAGTCGTGGTATCGAATTTAGCTCTCCTCCACGAGAAACGACTTGGGGATCACCCGGACGTATCGGCCTTTTGAATGGCAAAGAAGTAGTTGCCCAGCTTCTCGCCGCCAGGGACGACCTTCCAGCCCAGACCAGGTACATATGCAACGCCCTGGAACCGGGCATTCTGCCATGTGGCCGTCGCGTACGCCGGGGCGCCCGGGGCAAAAAAAGCCTCGAGCTCGTCTGCATTGATGTACTTGTTCCAGTCGTGCGTGCCGCGCGGCACAATGCCCAGCACGTCCTCGGCGGCGACGACCGTCGTCAGCCAGCTCGTCCAGGTGCGCGCCATGGTGCTCAAGACGAGCCAGCCGCCCGGCTTGAGGAGGCGGCCGCAGCGGTCGAGGAACGCTCCCGGGTCGGTGGCGACGTGCTCGAGGACCTCAAACAGCGTGACGATGTCGTACAGGGGCTGGCTGGCGGCCTCGGCGGCCGCCAGGTCCTCCACCGACATCTGCCGGTACTGCAGCCGCTCAAACACGACGGGGTCGCGGCGGGCATGGGCCCGGGCGACGGCGAGCACCTCGGCGGACGGGTCAATGGCGGTGACAGAGGTGGTCGTGGGCAGGCGGGCGGCGCTCTCCGCAAAGATGCCGCCGCCGCAGCCAATGTCGAGAAACGTGCGGGGCAGGAGGTCGTCCATGGGCTGGGCGGAGGTGGTGGCGGGTGAGAAGAAGGCTGCGTCGCGGATGCACGCCCGAATGAAGTCGTGGCGGAGAGGGTTCATCTGGTGCAGCAGACGCGACGGGCCAAACGGGTCCCACCACGAGGAGGCGAGGGCATTGAAGTGTGCGACCTCCTCGGGGCTGACGGACGAGAAGGGAGGCTCTGATGCGGACGACGCAGAAGACGCTGTGGATGTGGAAGTCGTCGAATGGTGCCGTGAGCATTGGGCAGCTGTTGCTGTTGAGACCCTTGAAGCTCTCCGGACCAGCCGTTGACAGCTCGGAAGCTGATGTGCTTCGGCCGTTGCCGTTGTGAAGTTGAGCTTCGAGGCGCTCTGCCGGAGCCGGCATGCACGGCGCAGCATTGGCGCTGCAGCTCGTGGGTGTGCCATGGCTGTGGGTGTCTTGGCGTGGCTGTTTGTACGGAACGCAAAGCTATGAGGTTGTGGCCGAAGCTCAGCTTTCCCAAAATGCTCCGTCATGAGAAAGGGCGATTCTGCCACGATTTACCGCCTTCCAAAAGTGGTTGTTACTCGTCCTCAGTGGAAACATATCGTTGCAGTACATGTGATCGTACGTCATTCGGCCGTGAGCCCACCCACTCCGTTGGAAGTGAAAACCGCCCGCAGGAGGAAAGCAGTTGCAGGGTCTTTTTTGGCATTGTCGTCTCATGTCTGCGATGTCGCTCCCGCGCCCGATCTCCCCCGGAACGAGGCCGGCCAGATTTCGGAACGCACTTTCCATTCGTTCTGCCTCGCCTTCTTTCCTCTCATGGAACGCATGCTGGAGAAACAGAGCTGCCACTCGCACCTGCCACATTTTCTGGCTACTGTTCGACCTGCTCTCGCATGTCCATTCGCACTTCTGCTTAGTGGGTCCGCTCTATGATGTGCTGGAGCCTTTGCCTCTTTTGCAATGCACGTCGTATCGTACAACGACTTCCCACTGCCGAGCCGTTTGGTAAGGAGTGCATAATGTTTGCTCGCGAGTGTGTAAGTGCTTTGCATGGGCCTAGCGCGGGACAAAACGGCAGGCACTTAGCACTGTATGCTAGATGGAAGCCAAAAGAACCTTTAGACGGGCCCGTAGAACAACCAAAAAAAAAAAGAGGAGACGGCGCAAACGCACCTTCCGCGTAATCGAGCAACGAGAAAAGGTCACTTTCTGCGCTTTCCGTTTCTTCGTCGGCTGTCTGCTGACGACTGCAGCCCTCCCTAACGATGGCCTGAAAGTGGTCCGATGCCCCGGAAGGGCTCGTTTCGTCCTCCACCGGCACAAAGTCGGACATGCTCGGTGCGTCTCCAGACATAGAAAGAACGAAATCCCGTTGCCGCTAGCATAGGAAAGGCCGAACAGGCTGTAATACCGAGAATGTGGTCGTGGTAAGACACTACAGAAGTTATTAGCAATTATTACAGAGCAAACAGCACATCACTTTAGGGAATCTCCGCCCGCAGAGCGGACGAAGGACGCCAGCGTCGCCCTTTGTCTTGCCCACACTTTAAGAAGGAACCGCTCCCAAGCCCCTTCCCCCTCGTACGAGGCACATTTTTGCGCTGCCAGTGGCGATTTTGTCTTTTGCTCTGTCCCTCCAATTCTCAATTGGCCCCACTCCCACCCTCGTGCTTAATATCCCCAGTATTCCTCTGTCACAAGGGAATTGCGAAATAGCGACAACGGAACAACGACTCCAACGTCCTCAACTGCTTGCTCTCCTCTACCTCGCGCTCGTCCACTTCCGTCTCGTGGGCATCTTCTAGCACTTGTTTCCTGATCGGACCGTCAAAGTCTCACTGGATCTCAGTTTTCAGCGGCCAATTGCACATTTTCAATACAATTCTTCTACTTTTTTTTTTTTTTATCCTACTCCAAGGGGATTTTCTTGGCGAGTCGCCTGATTCCCGACTCACGCGGGTCTTTATTGGCCATCGACACCACTGACACCACCTCTGACACCGTCTCTATTTTATCTACTATTATTGTTGTTTTTTTCTCGCCTTGCGTCGCCCGCTGACTGCCGAGGCTCCGAACTACACAATTTATTCGCTTCACTTGCCAGTTTCGACAGCACACGACATTTGCTTCGACATTAAGAGAACAAGACCTTTTCTTAACATTTTGAACTTTGAATTTGGTTCTCTTCCCCCCATTTCAGCCCACATCGTCCACAATGCCTGGCTCCACGTTGGAAGGCTTCAACTCCATCCCGGAGACCATCGAGGCGTTCCGTATGTTGTCCTCTTCCTGTTCGAAGACGTGCGCCGCGAGGGCGTGGGAGAGTTCCTGCGCTGGACACTGCTGACAGTCCCCGTTCCCCCCGCAGGCGATGGCCAGTTTATTGTCGTCATGGACGACCCAGGCCGCGAGAACGAAGGCGACCTCATCGTTGCCGCCGAGAACGTCTCCACCGAGCAGATGGCCTTTCTAATCCGCCACTCGTCTGGCATCATCTGCGCACCCATCCTGCCGACCCGTGCCGACCGCCTGGCCCTGCCCCCGATGGTCCCCAACAACGAGGACCTCCGCGGCACCGCCTACACACTGACCATTGACGCCTCCGACGCCATTGTCTCCACCGGCATCAGCGCCCACGACCGCGCCCTGACCTGCCGCCGCCTGGCCCAGGACGACGCCGAGCTCGAGGCCGTTGTGGCTGCCGAGGCCCAGAAGGCCAACGGCAGCACCAACGGCAACGGCCACGCGGCGGCGCCCATCTCGGCTGCGGCCGCCTTCCGCCGCCCCGGCCACGTCCTGCCCCTGCGCGCCCGCCACGGCGGCGTCCGTGAGCGCAGCGGCCACACCGAGGCTGCCATCGACTTCTGTCGCCTCACCGGCAAGCGGCGCGCGGCCGTCATCTCCGAGCTGGTCGACGACGGCGAGCCGGTCCCCGGCCAGGCCCTGCACCGCGGCTCGGGCATGCTGCGTGGCGAAGGCTGCATTGCCTTTGCGCAAAAGTACGGCATCAAGATCTGCACCATCACCGACCTGGCTGCCTACCTGGACAAGACGCACCCGACCGGCCCCTTCCCGGGCCCCCAGGTCGATGAGGTGTAGGTTCTCCCTCTGGCTGGACACGACGATATACAGAATTTGAAACAGACCCAAAAAATAAATCACTAGACGGCGGACGGTTGCATATACACACCACAAGAAAAAACGCGACTGGCGGCAGGCGGTAGGCATAGTTCTTTTTCCGTCGTGTCTTGTATACACAATCTATTCGCGAGGCGTTTACGGCTTGGCTTTCCTAATTTTGCATTGCTTTGCTTTTATTTCTCTTTTCTATTTTCTGTATACAGTTTTTGGAAACTCGGTTGCACTGCCTATAACTCTGCATGACTCCGCGCCCTTGGTGCTGGAAATACTACCAAAAAAAAATCGAATAATCTACTGTCAAACACCATGGGAGCCGTTTACATGCCGTTGTCGGACATGGGTTGCTGGAGCACGATCAATATGCGTCATAATCAAATGTCGCCATATGCAGCTCCTGCCAATGATGTCTCCACCAATGTTTACGCCTTATCTTATCGGGAATTGCCATCGGGAATTGCCCCTCTTGAAATGGCAAGACCCCGGACGAATGAACGGAAGGCGCGACCACAGCGCAACGCAAACAAGGACTCACTCTGGAGCAAGACTCTGTAAAGACGCAAATCAAAGAAATTGGCATTGACTCGACAATGTATCCAACAAGTGTCTTGATTATTTGTTTCCTCGTATCACTCGAGAACAGAGATCAAGCATGACCTGGTAGAGATAGAACGAGCCTTCGTCAGAGGACAGCAGCATACTAAAACACGGTGAACATGCTGTTTTATATAATATAATTCAACAATTTTTTTAAGAAAAAAAAAAAAGGTCACAAGAAACCAGTCCAACGCCGTCACAACTAACTTGCTGAAAGTCTCAAAGTCTGGTGAACCAGCCCTGTTCGCCGTGTTCCTTCTTCAGCGCCCAACGGCTTATTTACTAACTAGGCTGTCGCAACAGATGGGCCCACTTTAAAATATTCAAAAATCTTTTGGCAGCAACGGCCGACGGCGAACCTACAGTGCCTCATCACCAGAAACAGAAAGTCCACGTTTGCGATATCCTGGACTGTCTTCACAGAGGCCACAACAAACCACACACCATGGCAGCCCAAGCTCCCTCTCGGCGTGCGTTTCCCTCTGTTTCCCCGGTCTACACTCGTCCCAATGCATGACGCCCGCTAACAGACTGCTCCCCTCCCCACAGAAACGTGCCAGGACACCTTCGAGTCCGCCGTCGCCATGAGCCTCCATCTCTGGCAGCCCCTTTCCTTTGCGGTCGAGTCCAACCTCGGCGGTGGCGACGGCGCTGACAAGCGCGATTGGTTCGCCGGCGCCATTGCCGAGCTCTTTGAAGACGCGTGGACCAGCGCGCCCCTCTCGTCCAGCACCACCTCGACCGTGGCCGAAGACCTGCTGATGGACACCGAGAGCCGCCTGCTGCAGATCATGGACGACGAGTTCGACACAGTCGTCGACGACGGCAGTGCCTACGACGTGGCCAGCAGCATCGTGCAGCTGTGGACGCAGTGCCGGCGGGGCCAGTTTGCGGGCAGCGAGGCGCTGCGGCAGAAATTTGAGGCGTCGCAGGGCAAGTCGGTGCGAGGCGCATTCCATGCGGGCAAGGCCCCCGACGCGGACACGGCATGGCAGACGGACGACGAGGACGACGAAGACGACGAGGACGACGAGGAGGACGAGGACGACAGCAGAGACGACGATGCGGGTGGTGACGTCAATATGGACGAGGCCCCGGCTCTGGTGGACGGCCCGGCGGCACGGTCCAAGCCAGAACCCGAGGTGGACGAGGACGGCTTCACCACAGTGACGAGAAAGAAGAGGTGATCAAGAGAGCGGAGGAGAGAGGAAAGTCTGCTGTTTAATTATGATAATCGTGTATTGCCTTATTTCAGCTTCAATTACGGGATAGACTTGACTTTGGGTTCAATCAAAAGTTTGCTTTCGCCCAGTTTTAAGGAGTGAATTCACGTTTTGTCAACGCTTGTAGCTATGTAGCGAAAGACCTAAAGAAGTGGGCATATAGACGACCCTATAGGAACCAAAAAATAAGGAGCGAAAAGACAACCCTGAGAAACGCCGGCTGCCACCAAGCAAAGTGTAAACAAAGACCAGCAGATGGACGACATGCTTTCATGAAACGGGTCAGGCCAGGCGAACAGAGCCCTACACGGGAACGAAGGATGGCGCCCAAAACAAATCCAACGACAGGAAAGGGATATTAAACGGCAGCAACTCCGTCTCGCATCGTACAGCAAACAGAAGGCGGCGACAAGAATGAATGCGTCCGAAAACGAGAACTCAAAATCAAAAATCAAAAATCAAAAATCAAAAAAAAAAAAATCAAAATGCAAACGACTCCCGCGTGTCTCTCGTTACTCCCAGTCCTCCTCTTCGCTGTCCTCCTCGACCCGCTGCGGGCTGTTGGGCGCTTGGCTGGGGGCGCCCGACTTGGCGCCGACAATGTCGTAGCTGGCCTCGCTATCGGCCACGGACTTCTCGTCCGACTTACGCGGCGAGGCGCTGGGCTTCAGAAGGCCGTCCACGGACGGTGTCGAGGACACCTTCTTCGCGGCGGTCGCTTTCGTCGTCGTCTTCTTGGGCGGTTGAAGGGTCTTGGAGGATTCGGCAGAGCCGGTCTGCTTGGCGGGGGGCTTTGCGGGGGCCTTTGCGGGGCCTTTTACCGGGGCCTTTGCCGGGGCCCTTGCCGGGGCCTTGCCGGTAGCCTTTCCGGTAGCCTTGGTCTCCTCGGATTCGGTGTCGGACTCGTCCTCGTCCGAGTCCTCTTCTGAGTCTTCGTCCGAGTCCTCTTCGTCCGAGTCTTCGTCCCATGCGACTTCCTCCTCAGCGGAGGCAGCTGTGTTGGTCAGCATATGAAGTACCTTTTTCTTGCCCTCCTTGTTTTCGTTGTCCAAACTCACCCTTGAGGAGATCCCGGCGGCGCGCCTCGGCGGTTTCAATGCCGCGGCGCAGAAAGTAGTAGCGCTTCCAGAAGTCAGTATAGGGGACCGTGGCCGGCACCAGCTTCTCCATCGTGGCGCGCAGCTCCGGGTACTTGTTCAGGTCGCTCGCAATGTCCGCCGTCTTCGAGTCGATGTTAAATGTCTTGGCAAACGCCGCAAACTCGTCGCCGCCCGACGGATCCTTGGCGAAGCTGTCCGGGCTCGTGTGGATGACGTGCAGCTGCGCGTCGAACCGCGACGTATGGATCACGCGCTTGCCTTGGGCGTCCTTGCTCTCAAAGAGCACCGTGCTGCCCGCCGTGTTGGGGCCGCTGCCGCCCGCGGCAGACGCGCCGGCTGTTGGCGGCGCAATTGTGATGGCCTCGCGCAAGAAGTCGCGCAGGCCCGTGCCAAACTTGATCAGCGCCTCGTCGGCGGCGTCTTCCGCCCGTTGCAGGTCACGCAGCCGCTTGGCGGCCTCGCCCTTGATCTTGGTCAGGACCGTTTCATCCTGTCCGCCAGCGGCCGCGCCGTCCGTCGCAGTGGGTGTCCCTTCGGAGGCGCCTGCCGCAGCTGCCGACGAGGACCCTTCTCCGTTGCCCCCGGCACCTGCTGGGCCCGCGACAAGGGATAGGTTGCGTGTGTGGCTGACGAGGGTGTCGCGGAGGCCGGTCAGGCCCTTGGATGCATCTTGGCCGAGGGCCGTAACCTCGAGCTGGGCTTCACGGACAACCGAGCCGCCCTAGACGATGTTGTCAGTTCCATCTGAAAGTCTGAAGCACCGTCTCATCCAACTTTGCTTGCTCGAGCAAGCCCGAGACTACACACCTGCTTGACGACGTTGCCAAAGAAGCCGCCGATCCGGGTGGCCCACGGACTGAGCGCCGAGACGGCCGCCTGGAGATCCTCGTTGATTGTTGCCGGTGGCTGGTCGTGGGAGTGGTCCCGGCCCTCGCCGTCTTCGGGAAGCGACTCCCTGGTAATCTCGTCGTAGGCGAGATCCATGGCTGCTGATGGGGATGGCGGAAGGGGGGAGGGGGGTTATCGCGGCAGAGGCGGTGGAAGTGGAAAAGGAGATGGAGCAAACAATGCGGATATGAGGATGTCGACGATCGTGCCTGCGTTCGCGGTATGGATGCACAACAGGTTGCTCCAAGCCGTGTCTGGTTCTCAAAGTGCCTCTGTGATTGGATAAGGGAATGCAGAGGTCCGAGGCGGTCACGTTGCTGAAGCTTCTGCGGCGAGGTTGTTGGTCCGAAGAGGAGGAGTGATAGTAAGAAGGACTAGGATGTTACCCACTTGTGGTTTGGGCGGGATGCTTAGCGCCCTACGGCCGTTGCAAGTGCTCTGGTGCTCACTGGCTTGTGCCTATTTCAGGCGGTTTGTGGGCGGGACCAAGCCCACTTTGTGATGTGTCAGCGGGGCCAGCCACACCTGTCCAAAGAACCATAGAATCCAGCAGGCGGGCTCCCCCTCAGCGTGGGTTTCAGGTTTGAGGGTTGCTGAAGGAAAGCCGCAGAGAGCGCTGTAATATTGGCCCTGGCACTTGCCTCAGGCACTAGCAAGCCTTCTGTTGCTGCTCCTCGCAATTGGCAAGGGCGACCAACAGAAACACCTCTTCTCAAGAACGGAAATCACGCCCCATCACTGGGTGCACCTCTGATAGCAGCAGTCTTTCGAACGGGATCAATTGTATCAAACATGCCAGGCCAGGCTAAGCCCTGGCCACGAGATCAGCTGTCAAGTCCTGGGCCATTCCATTGGAATGCAGGACCTGCATTCCCAGATGTTTGCGTCATCCATCTGTTTCTCCTTATGTGAGCCTCGATCATGTCACGTGATGTGGCGTCTTCGCGAAACGTAGCAACAAAGAGGCTGTCGGTGGCACGCGCGACGGATATCGGGGAGTGAGGAGCAATGACGAAATGGTTCCGCTTTCAAATTCAACGCCTTTTGTCGTACGTTTTTCTGCCGGCCAAATTTTGACAGGCAAAAGCCGAAAGGGTACGTCGTACCCACTCCTTCCCGGAGAGCGAAAGTGATGTTAATTACTCGGCACAGAGGAGTGGACGAGTCGTGCATCTTGTATGAAGAAACCTGCAGAGGGACACAGAAGGAGCGACCGGTATACGCCGCGTGCATGTGCTATGGGCCAGAAGCATCCAACCCGTCCACAGTCCACAAGCGCGCCCTTTGACACGAACAAAGGAAAGAGCGCCCAGGTCGTGGTGTGAGACGCAGCGACTCATTGGCCGGTTGCACTTGCGGTTCTTTGTCTTCATCTACCGTGCTAGTTCAGTTGCACACTGTGGGGAATGTACGAAGGTTGCTGCAAACTTATTTGCTTGCGCTTTGCAATATACGAAATACGCAGTCACCGCCTAATTAAAGTGCTGTTGAACTGTCGTCTTCCATTCGTCTGTAATCCAATGTCGGATACCAGGACCTACGCGCTTGACGGAATCCTCTTTCAGTGCCTGTTGCAATGACGTATTTCGCAAATGCACGGGCAGGCACAGCATTGTCGAGGAAAGAGGAAACCGCGGATTCCATATCTGGGGGACACGGAAGGAGCCCATGAGATGGTCAGGGCCAGGATTTTGGCTCGTCTTAGCTTGTCAGCAGGTTCAGTACGAATATGCCCGTGACTCACGACCCGTGCTGTGGCACGTACTGCGGCGATGCCGTCGGATGTAAGACACAGTCCGGCGGCATTGTCGTCGCGTCGCGAGAGACTGGCTTTCGTCTCGTGAGCCGGGTTCTCTGGGTGGGCTCTCGTCTCCCGGTAGCTCCTGCTGTACGTTGTGCTTCTCAAAATATGTCGATACTGTCTTCTCTTTCCTTGACACTCGTGGCGTTGATTAGGGAAAGGGCCATACATTCCTGCCCTCCGCCTTAGTATGCGGCTGGGGTGGTTTTTCCAGGCAGGTATGGTCGACCTGTTCAGAGTTCGGAACTGTCAAAATGTGTCGTGGGGCCGAGAAGGAGCGATGGAATATTGAACCGGGGGCAGTGACTTTCAACGTGCAGTTGGACGCACCTTCCCCTCAGGTACACAGTGGTATCGACACCGTACCTGGAATGGGAGGCCCAAGTGGGGGGGCTCGGGGGCTAGAAGATCAATCTAAGAGAGAACCCCAATCCAGACGGGGCAGGAGAGCCAAAAGAGGCAGAGGCGAAGCACGGGGCGCTGGGTTCCAGTCGTTATTTCCAGTTTGTCCGCGTTCAATGCGGATTACAAATTGAATTTTTGTTTCTTCTCTAGCCCCTCTTTTCCAACCCCATCCATCTGCTTCTCTTTCTCCCACCACCCATCACCACGCCTGGTTTGCCTCATCACCACCACCAGCAAGACAGCGTCGACCCTGAGCAGCGGAATACCAGGGAGTGAGAAAGACACATTTGCTTTAGGACTCGCCGAGAAGAGGCGGCAAAACAAGGAGGAAAAGAAAGAAAACGGGAACTAGAAAAGGAAAAGAAGCAGAAAAAAGAAAAAGAACACCTGCACGAATAGGCTCTTATCAACCCCCTCTCAGAAGCCGCCATTCTGCCCACTGGCTGCTTTGAAACGGGCCACTCGTCCTCCTCCCTGCCCCCCAGTTTCTGGTATTATCTTGCCTCCCGCAGCATTCCCCCCCAGAACATTTTTCCAGGCACCAAACGTTTCGTCTCAGGCCACAATCTTTCTCTCTTCACCCTCACCCCATCCCCGTTTTCTCACTCCTGCATACTTTGTTCGCCTGCGTTGCTTCGAGATAACGTCGTCATCTCAACTCTCTTTGCCCTACCCACGTATCCGCGTGGCCTTACTCGCATTGTCTGCCCTGGCCTTGATCCTCAACGGTTCGAGTGCATTGAGCACCCAGCATCTTCTCGTCACCCTCATCTGTCCCTTCTTTCCACGCTCGGCGTGTACTTGAGCATCGTCACTTTTCTGGGAGGCGACAATATCGCTCGACCATCGCCTCCCCTGGGGTCACTCTGTGTCTCACCCTTGCGCGCTTGAGGCTTCACTGCGTGTGAAAGCGGACGCTCTACATCGCAGGAGCAAAGCATCTTCGCTCCGTCTACACTCATCTTCCCGCACTCCCATCCCAAGACTTTATTCCCCGCCCCAACCACCCCCCGTCCATCCCAATGGCTTCCAACCAGAACTTCCTCCTTACACCTCAGCAGCAGGAGCTGCTTTTCGCCGCCCTCAACGCCAACCGGCCGACGGGCGGCTCGTCCGGCATGTCTCCCAACGGAGCCGGCGTGGCGGACACGCCCGTTACGACAAAGCCCACCGATCTCATTAACAGCATCGCCGACAGTTCGTTCCTCGACTACGACTACTCATTCGACGGCGCCGACACCAGCCTCGATTTCTCGCTGGAGGGCGACCAGTCCAACTTTATTGACAATGACGATGCCGACGCCGATGATGCAAAGACCGATTCGGCTCCTAGTAATGCCGACAACGACTCGCCGGACAAAAGAAGCCATCCGGACGACGAGGACGAGGATGATGGCATCATAGCGAAGCGCCACGAGAGCACAGAAAAGGTGCCCAAGAAGCCCGGCCGGAAACCCCTCACATCAGAGCCTAGCTCGGTACGTCGTACTCTCCATGTCACTCCGAAGACTTACGGTTACTAACAAAAACTGCTCCGTATTGTAGAAGCGCAAGGCACAGAACCGCGCCGCCCAGCGGGCGTTCCGTGAGCGCAAGGAGAAGCACCTCAAGGATCTGGAGACCAAGGTCTCCGAGCTGGAGAAGGCATCCGAGACCGCGAACAGCGAGAACGGCGTGCTGCGGGCACAGGTCGAGAAGATGACCGTTGAGATCAATGAATACAAGAAGCGCATGGAGCTGCTGTCACGATCGCGGTCCTCCTACACACAGGGCGGCCAGCAGGTCTTTGGCAACCCCATCTTCAACAACATCAACGACGTCAACTTCCAGTTTGAGTTCCCCAAGTTTGGCCAGCTGCCAGGACCAGCGTCTTCCAATGGCACCACCGCCGTCAACACCAACACCAACGACAACAGCCCGACATTGTCGTCGTACAAGAGGGGCTTGTCGTTTGACACACTCAGCTCCAACTCGCCCAAGGAGCTGCCGGGTCTGAGCACGACCGCCACAAGCAACGCCAACAGCCCCGCCGAGTCCATCAACAGTCTGAAGAAGACCAGTACCAAGGAGGACCTGTCCAAGCTGTCCAACGCCTTCACTCCGCCTCTGACCAACGGCAATGTCGCCAACGCATCCCGGTCCAGCATGGATTCGGCCTCCACATGCTCCCCTTCCGCCTCGTCGCACACCAACACCGCCCCCAGTTCGTCGTGCGGCACGTCTCCCGAGCCCTTCACACAGTCGCCTATGGGCTTTAAGCCTGTGGACACGTTGACGACGATTGGGGAGGAACAGCCGGCCATATTTGCCAACACAAATGCAAATGCAAACACAACATCAGGTACTATTTTCCTTTGACAACGCGTAGCTCGAGGTGCGAGCGAGTTACAGCTAAGGCAAGTCCCCCAGCTAACATCATGTGCCATCTAGACTTCTCGCAGTTTGCCAATGTGGACATCAACGACATGAACTGGCTGGGCAACCAGACCAATTTCCGGTTTGACCCACAGCTGTTTGGTGACTACCGCGAGCCGCAGGAGAACATTCTGTCCAGTGGTGGCTTCGACGACAGCTTTTTCAACGATGCTCTGGAAATTGACTTCACCACTCCGTTCAATATGGCGCCGAGCCCCGTCGTGCCTGGCGGTAACAAGAGCAATCTGATTGCTCAAATCGACGCAGCCAAGGAGGGCGAGTTCGCCTCGTCGTCCATTGCAGGCGCGGCCGGCGTTCCGGCTGTGGCCAAGCTTCCTGCTGCTGGCGGTATGCTCACATGCAACAAGATTTGGGAGCGTCTGCAGAATTGCCCCAAGGTCCAGAACGGTGACTTTGATCTGGACGGCCTGTGCTCGGACCTGCAGAAGAAGGCCAAGTGCTCCGGGTCGGGTGCCGTCGTTGACGAGACGGACTTTAAGTTTGTCATGAACAAGTATCTCGACAAGGACGGCGAGTCCGACTGCGCAAAAGATCTGATAGACGACGTCGTCAAGGCGCCTGTCGCATGAGGCGTTGACGCACGTGAGAGGGGCGACTGGCGATTTGCCAATCGTCTTGTACAATGGGAACACATCCAAATGCACAAAATGGGCGAACAGGTTAAAACAGCGCACGGAAACAGGGTACTGTACAACACGACAAAAATTAGCGAGAACACGACGAACGCGGGACCACGTTGGCTCTTTGATTTTCCAGGGGCGAACAACCGCGCGCATAGCGATACGATGGGACGAAACGGGCGCCAGGACGGAGCAAAAGAACTTTTGCGAAACAATACCAATTGCACTTGGACGGAGACAAAATAAAAAAAAAAATAAAAAAAAATTATGGCGACTTCGGTGTCACGGCGAGATTGGGGCCCACGACATATCAACAAGGGGGGATCCAAAGAATTTGGGAGGGGGCACAGTTTTATCTTTCATTTACACCGGTTGCAACTTGCGCGTTTTATCAAATTGTCTAGTCGACAATTCTTTGGGGAATATCTTTGATTTTTTTGAATTTTGATTTTTTCTTTTCTTATAATTCTATTTACCTCTCCTTTGCGGCTAATTTGGCCTCGCGTTGATTCCTTTTTTGTGCTGCATTTTCTGGTTGTTGATCTTTGCTTTTCTATTTCTTTTTATCACTACTGTCCATTTCGAGGCTCTTGCCCCGGGGATATACACTGCTTGGCGATGGCGTGTCGCCAGTAAGCCAAAAAGGCTTATTTGTTGACGGTCTGAATTGTCTTCTTCGTTTCGCAGAGCCATTGCTCCCACTCGTCGTCACTGTTGCTGAACGACCGCCGTTGCAGATGAAACCGTTTGACATCTTTGTATCCCAAGCAAAGACAGTACACGGGGATCACAAAAGGCTTGCATTTATCTGATATTTTTTGTTGATGGGGACCTCTTGTATTCTGCAGACTTAGTGAACCTCGATCTATGTTTCTATATCTTAACTCTCCACGATTTATAAGTGCATATGCCATCTTCCATTTCGTGCTAGTTGAAATATGATCTGATAGTACAACTTGTAAGACAATGGGAATAAAAAATGCATGTGCATATTTCAAGCAGGGAAAAAAATTGTTCATTATAGATTGATTGGTATTTGCTGCTGTGTTCAGAGATTTCAAAACAAAATATTAAAGAAAAGCCAGAATGCCTGAAAAGGGTATCCTATCGAGCCGTCTCCTCCCCCGCATGAACATGAAATATATAAAGCAGACTGACCTCCCGTCCTTTCCTGCACCGCAACTATGTAGTATAAGAGCTAAGATACGTCCAAAACAAGAAAGACTATGAAGCAAAGGGATTTATAATAAAATAATAAAAGGGGAACAAAGGGGAGAAACAATATACGAGAAACAGAAAATATAACAAACAAAAAAAATTAGTACAATAACTGGCTCGCCAGGCAATGTGTGTGTATAATATGCATAAGCGTTGCTCTGTGCCTGATGAGTTGCAGCTGGATAGTAGGTTGTGTGCACAAGGACGGTCGGCTGAGCTTGGAGACGCGGTCATGTCTCCGAACTGAAAATACGTGCCTCGGTGGGTGCTTCCCCGGTATGGGAGGAGCCTCTGGGGCTGATTTTGATTGCCACTGGTTGGCGGCTCATGGGCGACCGACACTCGACCAGATATGAGAATCCATCGTGCCAGACAATGTGCTCCGGCCGGAGCCTTGAAACGGTTTCAACAACCGTTATCCGGTCGCGGCCGTCCGCTAGCGTTACCGGTCGTGTGAAAAGGATGGTGTTAGGGTGGGTGGTGTTGGCCGTGGTAACGGATTGAGATTGAGCGGCCACATGAAAAAATGCATCGAATCACCCAATCACCACACGAGCACCTTCCTTGCCCAGCACACCGCGTTCCTTGGGCTTCGGGCTGTTTCCACGGCCCTTTTTGCGGCTTAAGAAGCCAAACACGCCGCCGCCGCCGCCAGCATCCTTACCGTCCGCTCCGGGATCACCGCCCTCGCCAAGGAGGCGGCCGACAGCTGCATCGGTGGGGAGAGTGTTGTCCTGTCTTGCCAGCTCAGACCAGTCGCCGGCGCCGTCCAGCCGCACCTGCACACCGCCTGTCGAGCTGCCGACCACAATGCTGCCGCTCGGCACATGGCCAAGGTGGCGTCCTGGGCGGCTGCTGATGTTGCGGGCGGAGTTTGTGTATGGGTTGGGGTATGGTGGCAATGGGGGCGGGCGGCCGGGCGGTGCTGCCCGTCTGTTGGGATCGGACGATGGCAGGTTGGCGTAGTCAGGGATGTAGTCCCGCGGGTCGGATGTGTTGCTGTTGCTGTTGCTAGCGCGGGATGCCGGAAGCGCCTCGTCCGTCGTGATTGCCTGCGGCTGCGGCGGTAGATCGTTGGCATCCTCGTCGAAGGGCACAACGTGTTGACCATGTACCCTCAGCTCCTCCTCGGCAGTCAACTTCTTGTACGCAGCCAGCGTGTAGTCAAAAGGACGGAAGTCTCTCTCGATGGTGCGGTACAGCTCGTCTTCACGAATCTCCTTGTCGGTCGCATCGTCCTTGAGGCGCTCCCGTGGCTTTTGGCGGCGAGCACGTGCCTCCAACGGCGCTTCTTCCAACAGAAGCTCTTCCAAGTCGTACGTGGCATCAAAGTTGGTCTTGTCTGCCGATGGGATAAAGACGGGTTCAATCTCTTTCCGCTCGAGGGCAATAAAGTCGATCTGGGAAAAAAACTCGTGCCGGGTGAAGCTCTCCCAAGTGGAGCCGAGGCGCATGTCAGGGTCCGGGTGCAGGGCGTCGCGGATGGCGTAGAGACATGGGAGGCTGACGGGTGGTGATGTGATGGGGAAGTTTGGTTGTGCGTTTTGAATCGTTGCACCAAGAGACGATTCTGTGTTCCCCTCAAACGGACGCTGTGGAGAATGAATGTTAGAAACTGACGCGCCGCCGACGAGTCATTGTGGTACAACGGCTCTCATCGGCCAGACACCAAGACTCGCACGTACCTTGCTGTATATGCACTCGTAAAATGTGACGCCCAATGACCACCAGTCGGCGCGGACATCATAACCGCGACCGGCATAGACCTCCGGTGCCAAATACGCGAGTGTTCCAGATTTGCTCGTCAACGTCCGACCAGGAACGATATCGGAGGCGACATTCTAGAGGAGAGGATTAGCCACAGGCAACAAAATGGAACAATTTCTTACGACTGGGTACGTACAAAGTCTGTCAGGTGGACATGGCCATCAGCGTCCAACAGGACGTTGTCCGGTTTCACGTCACGGTGGATGATGCCTTGGCCGTGGACGTAGCGCAGGGCACATCCCAGCTCGGCTATCCAGAAGCGCACGGCGTCTTCGGTGAATGTTTTGCGGGAGATGTGAAACCGAAGATCGCCGCCGCTCATCAGGTCGACAACGAGGTACATATACTCGATGTCTTGGAAGCTGTATCGCAAATTGCAGATGAACGGGTGGTTAACGTGTTCGAGCATGCGTCGTTCGCGAATGATGTTGCGTACGCTTTCGGACCGGACAACTGGAAGAGGGACATAGAAGCAATGGGTCAGCTCTTGACACTCCTCTGGCAAAAGAGGGGGGGGGAGGAGGTAGTGTGGTATGGAGGGGACGCACCTTCATCTTTCCGAATGTATTTCAGCGCAAACGATAGGTTGGTGTCTTTTCTCTCGACGATGCGGACCTTGCCAAAGGCACCGCGGCCGACAACTCGAAGCAGGCGAAAGTGGTTGAGATTCACTGTAGACAAGGTCGAGGCCGCAGAGGGCCGAGATACGTTAGCCGACGGTCGTTTTCCTGGTGACTTTCGCGGGCGCTTTCCTCGCGAAATCCATTATTCCATCGTGCCCCCCTTCTTCGTAGAGAGAGAAGTGTCCTTTGGCTTTCTGGACAGCGTACCTTCGCCAGTCAGGTCGGCCACTTTCCCCTGGCCGTTACCCATGGTGCTGTTTCACGCAACGGCGGCGTAACCTAGCTGGGGAGCGGTTGCTCAAAATTGCGTCGTCGGAAGTTTCAACGGGAGGGAGAAGGACAAAAATACGGCGGTGGGGTAATTGCGCGGACGAAAATAGGGAGTCTGAGGACGCCGTTAATTTGCTGTTCTGTTGGATGTCGCTCACGTTCGGAACTAAATCATTATCGAGGCTCGTGCCAGTCGGGTTCGGTATTCGTCCCGTGAGTTCTCGTCGAGGTTAAAAGTCGGGAAAAGGTGGACAACGTAGACAATTGGGGAGGAGAAAGAGCTGCTCCTTCGTTCTACACTTTGTCTCGAAATTTTCTGCTGTAAATTTCGAGAGCGGTCTTGCGTTTTCCGTTCCCGTTTTCGTCGGCCTCGTGTGCCAGGTGCGTCTGTTTGGCAGAGCGGGGACGATGGGCGACAATGTCACCTGTGATACGGATCTGCAGCGCGTCGATTTCGACCGACGATGGGTCGCTTGGCTATGGTAGTACTTGTTTCTGTCGGCGGTTGAAACGCTGAAACGCTGAAACACTGAAACGCAAAATCGACTGTTGATCGAGGTACTGGTTGGAACGTCGATTTCAAAAATGTCCAAGAGACCAGGCGTAAGAAGATGCGGGAATCGACAATTCGGGGTGCAGCGTATCGAACCAAAAGAGGGCAGCGACGGTGAGAAGGGTGCTGTGAGTGGAGGAAATTGAAAGACAGGGAGACAGTGAGAGAGGATGAGAAGAAGCAGCGGAAGAGACAGAAAGGAGAGGCGGCATAGGAGGAAGGCAGGGTGCGGTCGGGGCAGTCGATGCCGGAGGAGGCGGCCTGCTGCTTATAAGAAATGAAGTATGTCGTAGAGAAGAGGGGAAAGGATTGGGGGAGAAGCTTGTGAGGTGTGAGGGTCAATGTGAGGACGCAAGGAGGGTGGGTGGGCAGCGGGAAGCAGAAACGTGGTGGGTGGATCGTCCAAGGCAGGGCAGCATGCAAAGGACAGCTGCAGAGTGTCGACAAGCAAAGAGGCGAGGGAGGTCAGGCACTGGAACAGACGCACGAAAGAAAAACGTGTTTTCTCGGTGGGGTGT